TCAGTCGTGCGGCTCGCCGAGCCTACCCTGACACTCCGGCGCCACGTGTGGAGGGGTACGCAGTGCAGTACTTCATTAGCGGTCTCTGTACTTCCGAGATCCGCAATGGCGTTGCTGGCGTCGCGTTTCAGACGGTGTCTGAGGCGCTGGATGCGTGTCGCCTTGTGCGTTCCCGCATTCCGGCGTCCAAAAAGACCCTCACAGTTGGTGAAGTGACAGTGGAAACTGCTGAAACTTCCTCTGCCGCGACCCCGAAGGCTACTGTCGCTGCCCCTAAGGAGTCAGATTCGGTGGCTGACCGCTTGGACAAGTTATCTAAGCAGGTTAATGCCATGGTCCGACAGGCTAACGTCCAAACGGCCCAACCAAACCGTAGTAAGTGGCGTGGGCGCGATGGCAAGCAGCAAAGTGGCGATAAAAATGACCGTGCTGATCGAGGTGATGGCAATTGTTTTAACTGTCGTCAGCCTGGGCATTTTGCCGCCAACTGCCCCGAGCCAAAGTCAGGCAACCCTCGGTACAGGCAAGGCCCCTACAACCGTCCGGACAACCAGCAAGGCCAGAAACCAAGACAGCAGCAGCATCAGCAAAGGGCTCAGGCTGCCCCTGTGCCCTGGCCTTCGCAGTTCTATTCAGGTTTGGCGTGGCCAATACCGAGTTGGGTGCACACACCACCCCCGCCCCCTCCAACGGCTGGCACTCTGGGTCAGGCTCAGGCAGGGTCAGGTTCTCAGAACCAGGGAAACTCCAAGTAGCCTCCCTGACCCAGCTGAGTGCCCAGTCAGAGGAGGCTGAGGAAGTTGTCGAAGTGCATCCAGAAGGTTCGCCTACGGCTGACTTTTTGCTGGATGGTGTCCCCGTGAAGTGCGTCTTGGACACTGGGGCCCAGATTTCTGTAGTAAAGAGAGGAACACGTTCTGGCAAAGTGGCACTGCCGTCTAAGCTGCGACTTAGGGATGTGCATGGCAGTGTGTCCGTTCTGTATGGACCCTCCGTGTTCACCCTCTTGATTGGCGGTGTGACTTACAGATTTGTGGCGTTTGAAGGCGATATTGAGGACCGTTGTATAGTTGGTATGGACTTCATGCGTCCTCGTGGCGGTATCGTCGACACCAAACGGCTTTCGTTCTCTCTGGACCATCCTTTGGACACAACTGTCACTGTTTCTAACCCATTTACTTTGAGTTTCTCGAATGATGTGGGTAAATTTGGTGCTAATTGCATTTTTGCTGTTATTCGAGCGTCAGTACGGTGCGAGCTGCAGCCATTTGGGTCAGCTTTACTGACTGCCAAGCTCTCCGGCCCTCCGGATCTGGGCGGTGAGGTTAAGTTAAGGGTGGCGCGGTTGCTTCGTGCGCGCTGTATCCAGGAGTGCGAGGACACGCTCACAGAGGTGGACGTGGATGGAGGACGCTCCATGCCGCCGGTCCAAGGCCAGGGGCCTGTAGTTACTGTAGGTAGTTGTGAGTTGGATTACAGTCGTGGCACCGTGGAGCGGGATCGGCCATCACCTCCCCGACAGAGTCCGAGTGAGTTGACGGCGCCTGGGCCATCTGACGCGTCTGTAGGTGGCTCTGACACCACCCCAAATTCTTTCTCTGAAAGTCAGAGTAACCCGCAGTCGGTTGATGACGCTAGTGCTGCTGATCAAGCTCTTAAGGGTTTGGGATTTGGCTTATTGGTGCCTTCAATGAACGTTTGGAATAAACAGTGCAGTTTTCCTATGGGTATGGTCCCTCTCGCGCCTGGCAGGTTGGAGATCTCGGTAACCAATCAATCGGCTGATCATGTGATCATTAGGCGTGGAACGGTGGTTGGCTACGTGCATCCCACTAATTTGGAGGACTTGGGCGTGCCATGTGATGACTGTGCTGAGCACGTCATGGTGCGGTCTGCGTCTCTCTGCGGCGAACAAGCTGAGGTTGAGTTAACGCCTAGGTTACCGCCGATTCCTCCTGACCAGCCGCTTCCGGATGATTTGCAGGGTATGGTTAACCGGTGTGAAGCTTTGACTGAGGACCAGAAGCAAACAGTTGCTAATGTTGTCCGGCAGTATCATGACATTTTCGTCAAACATAATGACGATTTCGGATGCTGTCCTTGGGTCAAATTTCGCATAGATACTGGCGACCACCCTCCTATCAAACAGCGGGCCCGTCCCATTCCAATTCATCAGCGTGCAGAGCTTGCTGCTCTCTACCGCCGGTATTTGGAACAGGGTACTGTAAGGCCTAGCCAGTCTCCTTGGGCTTCCCCACTAATGTTGATTGCCAAGAAGACTTTAGACGCAGATGGAAACCCGGAAATGCGGGCCGTTATCGATTATCGGAAGTTGAATGCGGTAACTCGTGTCCCTGCCATTCCTATTCCACGTACTCAAGAATTGTTGGAAAAGCTAGGCGGTCACAGATGGTACGTGCATGCAGATCTAGCCTCAGGTTATCATAACCTTCAAGTGGCTGAGGAAGACATTCAAAAGACTGCCGTGGCTTTGCCTGACTCGTTGGGCTTACCATCTAGATTCTTTGAGTACACGCGTCTTCCATTTGGTTTGTCGGCGGCCCCTGGAATTTTCCAGAGTGTCACTGATAGACTGATGCGACCTTCACTTCGCCCGACCTTGGACGACGACATTGGCCCTGCAAGTGGAGTCTATCTGGACGACCTTTGTGTCGCCGGTGACGAGTTTCCTCAAATGTTGCAGAGAATTAAGGCCTTGTTTAATCGTATCCGAGCGTCTGGGTTCTTGCTTAAGGCAAAGAAGTGTTTCCTGTTTAAGTGCAAGTTAAACTTTTTGGGCTTTGTACTTAGTATCCGAGGGATCAGTACTGACAGTGCTAAGGTCGATAAAATCACACATTGGCCCATTCCTGCAAATGTGACGGAATTGCGGTCCTGGATGGGTCTTGTGGGATTTTACGGACGATTTATCGAACGTATGGCCGAAATAGCTAGCCCACTTTACGACTTGTATCAGGACAAAGTACCCTTTATTTGGACAGATGCGTGTCAGCGTGCATTTGAACAACTTAAACGGGCCTTGTCCACCGACCCAGTGCTTGGCGTTGCAGACCCTAACAAAGGTGTTTTCATTGTGCACTGTGATGCTTCACAGAGAGCTGTGGCATGCATCTTGTCGCAGGAACAAGATGGTCGGGAAGTCGTCTTGCACTATCACTCAAAGCAGTTGCCGCGTCTTAAAAAGTCCCTGTGTGCTACGCATGCAGAACTTTACGCGCTGGTTGAGGCATCAAAGGCTTTTCGTCTGTACCTGCTTGGTCGTCCTTTCATTTTCTACACAGACCATGCTGCCCTGCTTTGGCTCCGTTCTTTTAAGAATGTGGAGGGAAAGCTAGCGAGGTGGCTGATGCGTCTGGAAGAGTTTCGTTTCGAGATTCGGCACATGAAAGGAAAGGACCTCACAAATGCAGATGCTTTGTCGAGACGTCCTAATCGGCCTTGCGCACCAGACTGCAGGACCTGTCTGCGCTTGGAAGAAAGAGAACTAGCGGCTGAGCAAAACTGCGAGTTCCAAGTGAAACTTCTCACCATTTGCCCAGTTGGGGATTGGGAGAGTGAAGAGGTGTCCGCCAGTCAACAAGTTGACCCGGATATTGGACCCATCTACGTAGCAGTTCAGCTGGGAAAGAGACCTCACTTCCAGGAGATAGTTGGATTTGGTCCGGCAACTAGAAGCCTTTGGGTGCAGTTCAAATCTCTGTTCATTGAAAAAGGGATTCTAAAAAGGCGGCTGGAGCATCCTACAGGTGACCCTAAACTTGCTGAGGCACAAATAGTGGTTCCTGGAAATAGGACTAAGGACCTCGTGGTGGACTTTCATCAAGGACCAAGCACTGGTTCCCACTTTGGAGTGTCCAAAACCTATGCCTTGTTGAGGGAAAGGTTTTATTGGCCTGGAATGTTCCAGACTGTTACAGACTGTGTGTCTTGCTGTCTTCGTTGCGCTGAGGTCAAAGGACCCAGGCACAAGACCCGTGCCCCTATGAAAGTGTTCCGTGAGGGAGTACTCTTTGGGAGGTGGCATGCGGATTTTGTAGGACCATTTGAGGCGTCACCTGAAGGGTACCGGTACGTCTTGGTTCTAGTTGAAGCGTTTAGCTCATGGCCTGAGGCGATTCCTATCAAGACTCTCAAAGCGCCCGAGGTAGCTGACGCGTTGGTCAAACACGTTTTCAGTCGTCTAGGTGCGCCTTATTCGATTGTAACTGACCACGGCAGCACCTTTGAGAGCAAGCTTTTCAAAGAAGTTATGGCAATCTATAAGACCCGCAAGTGTCGTGTGTCTCCGGGTAAACCGTCTAGTAATGGAAAGGTAGAAAACTACATTCGTAGTTTGACCCGACAGATTGCTCTTCTGGCGGATGAGGCCCCCAGTAACTGGCCGGACCTGATACCGCACATTTTGCACTCGTATCGAGCGTCCGCTGGAGCCGTTGCTGGTTTCTCGCCTTATGAAATTTTGTTTGGTCGGCACATGCGAGTCCCTCTTGATTTGGTTTATGGTGTGCCTCCAACTGGAGAAACATCTAGACTGAAAAGGCCACAAGAATACACTGCAGCGCTGAGGGAACGATTAGACAAAATTCATAGTTTGGTCAGGAACAGCATTCGTGGCGCAGCTTCTCGTATGAAAGAGCATTATGACAAATTGTCGACTCTTGTCTATTTCAAGCCAGGTGACGTTGTCTTGTTGTACAATCGTCGGCGTAGGCGTAAGAAATCGACAAAGTTGTACGCGCATTGGCATGGACCTTTCGTTATCACTGACATGCTTAATGATTGCATTGCCAGGATTGAGGAAGTGCGTCCAAGCCGTGTCGATTCCAAACGACCGAGACCGCCAAAACGAATGATTGTTCATGTGGACCGGTTAGCTGCAATTGGTTCTCACATGGTGGACCAAAATGGCCAGTGGCTAAAATTTTCTGAGTCCTAATTGCTTCGTGTGTCTTTTCCCAGACCTGCCCACCCTCCTGAGCATGACCGTCAAGTCCAAGGTAGTTGGTCCCCGGTCCCGAAGTCGTGGCGACATGTCGCGAAGCTGTAGTCCAGCATCCGACAATGGTGCGGACGCAGAATGGTACTCGGACTCGGAGCGACCTTCAATCAAGGACCGTTTGGGCAAACGAGATGAAGACAAGCCCAAGAAGAAAAGGCTGAATCCTCATCGCCGTCGTAAGCAAGCAGAGCAAGAAGCGAAGCAGCAGCAGCAGAAGCAGAAGCAAAAGCAGCAGAAACAGAAGCCTAAACACCAACCCAAGCAGCAGCAGAAGCAACAGCCCAAGCAGCAGCCAAAACAACAGCCGAAGCAGCAGCATTGGCAGAAGTATCGTGATGAAGCAGCTGCTGCTCGTGAACAACAAAGCATGATGGCGCAACAGCTAGAACAACAACATCAAGCGTTGCAACATTATGCGCAACAACAGCAGCTCATGCAAGCACAATTGCAGCAAACCCAGTTGCAACAACAACAATTGGTGCAGCATTTGCGTAATGCTCAAGTTCATCAGATGCAAGCGATGCAACCCCAGCTTCCTGGCTACCCGGGCTTCTCGGGTTACCAGTACCCGCCTTATCCATTCGGCTTTGGGCGTCCTGCCATGTAAATTAATTGAATTATATTCAGAAGCCTTGTTATGAATTTAGATAGTTGTCATGTGTCATTCCTTTTCCCACCCCTCAATCATCTGAGTCGCAATGAGAGAGAGAGAAGTGGGAGAGCTTGACCAGACCATGTGCCAGTCAGCCGTGCCACACCTGACGCACAATTCAGAAATTTGCAAGCTCTCAAGCCAACTGTACACATCCGAGAGGCAGCAATGCAGCACACACGTTCCTGAATGCAGCAACATGATGCAGCCTCCAGGCAGCCAGCGGTTCCTGAATGCGGATGTCAACTAAGATTGCAAGGAAAGTAGCGTTTCTTTTAGCAACATGCCGTTCCGAGTAATGTGCAGATAGTCCTGTTGCAGTTCAATCCAGAAATAAGACCACTAGAAGCACGCAGTGCCTTCCAGAAACGACCAACAGGCTAAGTCCCAGCAACCTAACCTTTCTTACAGGTTCCCCTCCTTGTAGAAACAAAGCGCTTTCCGATCTGTAAATGTTACAGTGACCGTTCGTCCTGCCCCGTCCCTTGCCCTGACCCTGTCCTTCCCTACGAGTCGTTGCGCGCTACCATGGGTTTGGCCAGCCCCACCAACGTCGGTGACGGGTAGCACGTCAAGAAGGAGATCCCGGTCCTGAGTGGAGAGGTAACCGCCTCCCCGTGCTATCGTCCTGGTGGTAGCACTTCAAGAAGGAGATCCGGCCCTGAGTGGAGAGGATTCCGCCTCCCAGTGCTGCCTCCAGTCGAGCCATCTCAAGCGGCCCTGATTGTGAGATGAGTTCGGTGCACAGGTTTTTCCCCTTAAAGAAGGTTTTCCTGGCCCCTACTATTGCCGAAATCGGGAACTCATCTTTGGGGCTAAATGTCTGTTGAGGTTAGCGTTTCCTTGTTGGGGTGGTCCTAACCTCTCAAAAGAAAAGGGAGGAGTAATTGTAGTATTATAGCCCAGCGTGCAGCTGGCATTGTCATAGCAGCGTGCAGCGCGCGCTTCTCATACTGGCCTCAACAGAAGCAGTAGCTTTGTTAGCAAGCGGTGGCCCGCCGCGCTGAGCGATCGTCTGGTAGCCATTGTATCGTGTATCGTGTTAGCTTCATTAAAATCAGTCTACATCTACGTCTTCGCTTCAGTTACCTACCCCCAGTGCTAACTTTACAATACTTACCTGTACTCACTCATGTACTCATGTGTACACCAAAATGCTGAGTGATTCACTCTGCTAACTCAAGTGTGTGCCAGGCATGCACTTCTTGGTGCATGCCTGCAGGCACACACTTCTTTTCTGCATGCCTGGCAGGCACACACTTCTTTTGAGCAAAATCAACTAAGACGGACCACTTTTTCCGGTGACACTCTCCGATTTGCCTGATTTTTTGTAGGCCTAATAACTAACTAAAGGAGAGTCTAAGGCCAGAATATTAGGTCCAGCAAAAATTTATTGCCCGAGATATGGCCAACTTTAATTTAACTTTTGGAGAAAAAACACAAATTTGGGTATTTTGGACTAATTTTACACTTTTCATAGTAGAGGGCTAAAATTTGGTCACTTCCAGTAAAATTGGCCAAGGAACAAGAATATGACCTCAGATTTGACCTCCGACGAATACCTGAAGAGTAAACCCCTCAAAACACGCTTAAAACACATAAAAAAAACAGTTATTTCTTGGGGTTTCTGAGAAAAATATGTGGACAAAACTTTCTGATGATCTTACCTTGTAGAAAATGACGCGATAAATCGAATGAGACCACGCGCAGATTTTTATGTCAAACCGTTTAGGAGATATAGCAGTTCAAAGTATGAAAATTTTGCCTTTTTTTTAAAAAAAAAAAAAATGCAGGTTTTGAGCATTGTTTGACGTCTTTTGCCTCCTTGGTGCGTGCAGGTGTTCTCATCTTGTGGAAAGAGGCGCGCTGAATCGAATGAGACCACGCACAGAGTTGTATCTCGAACCGTTTAGGAGATATAGTGGTTTAAAGTATGGGCACGGGAGAGCTCCTGCAAACACCCAACAAGGCAGAGCCGCCGAACGCGCCTGTTGGGCGGGTGGACTACAGCGCCCATACTTTGAACCGCTATATCTCCTAAACGGTTTGAGATACAGGTCTGTGCGTGGTCTCATTCGATTCAGCGCGTCTTTTTCCACAAGATTAGAACACCCACACGCACCAAGTAGGCAAAAAACGTCAAACAATGCTCAAAACCTACATTTTTTAAAAAATAAATGGCAAAATTTTCATTCTTTGAACCGCTATTTCTCCTAAACGGTTTGACATAAAAATCTGCGCGTGCTCTCATTCGATTTATCGCGTCATTTCCTACAAGATAAGATCATCAGAAATTTTAATCCACATATTTTTCCCAGAAACCCCAAGAAAAAACTGTTTTTTTAAATGTATTTTTAGGGTGTTTTGGGGGGTTTACTCTTCAGGTATTCGTCGGAGGTCAAATCTGAGGTCATATTCTTGTTCCTTGGCCAATTTTACTGGAAGTGACCAAATTTTAGCCCTCTACTATGAAAAGTGTAAAATTAGTCCAAAATACCCAAATTCGTGTTTTTTCTCCAAAAGTTAAACTAAAGTTGGCCATATCTCGGGCAATAAATATTTGCCGGACCAAATATTTTGGCTTTAGACTCTCCTTTAGTTAGTTATTAAGCCTACAAAAAATCAGGCAAATCGGAGAGGGTCGCCGGAAGAAGTGGTCCGTCTTAGTTGATTTTGCTCTTTCTGCATGCCTCAGGCACACACTTGCTTGAATGCATGCATTAGCGACGGCAAGAGTGTGACTGAGGCATGCAGCAAAGAAGTGTGTGCCTGCCAGGCATGCAGAAAACAAGTTTGTGCCTGCAGGCATGCACAAAGAAGTGCATGCCTGGCACACACTTGAGTTCAGCGACCGTGGAAGTGGGGTGCAGGGGAGGGCGGTTGGCCCCCCCTAAAATGAAATGTGGGGGGGGGGCTGTGTTTAGTATTGTGGCGTCGCAAATTCCTATATAGTGTCCAAATTTTAACCAAAACACGCTAATATTTTCGTAAATTCACTGGCTTTCAGCTCGCTTCGCTCGCCTTTCTTGATACTTTCCACTATTTGATGACTTTTAACTGTATGCGCTCCATTATAGCTTGTACTTTTCATATTTCGATGGCGTTTTGCTCGCTTCGCTCGCGTCTCACTGACTTTGAGGGTAAAAAGCGGCCCCCTTACTTTTGTAAATTCCTCATTTCTCGCATCTTATTCGGCCCCCCTTTTCTCCCCCCCCCCCCCGTTAATAGAAAAGTCTTACCCCCCTCCCCGTCGTCATGAACTACTTCCGCGGTCCTTGCTTGAGTTTGCAGAGCACCCCTCGGGCGAGACGGCCTCGCAACGCACTAAACCGTCAGACGTGGACAGTGCACGCCAAAAACGGTTCCTGGTATTATCCACGTAGCTAATCAAAATGGCAAAGGCGATTTCTAGGAAGCTCCTGGGAAAACCTGGAACCGTTTTTGCCGTGTGTGCCCACCTCCCTTGCGGCGCTCGGGTCGAAGGCTCGCGGGTACTCCGTGAACAGAATCCTGACCTCCGTGGCCAGAGTTCGGAACTGCGACAGAGACAGAGAATGGCATACAGCCGTGCGAGATGGAGTGGATTGCTGTCTGGCATGGCTTGCCAGGCTCTATATACCTGCATCGCCGGCCACTGACACATCGCGGCGGCGGCGAGGACGTTGACCATGAAAACTGCGTATTCGAACAGCTTCGGGACAAGGCCTGCGTCGTCGAAGAGGTCCACTACACTTTTGGTGAGGATGGCGACCGTGAGCAGCCCTATCAGGATGCAGAGCCCGTTCACGTCGCTGGACTTGCGCACCATGTCGTGGAGCAGGAGCTGGCGTTGGCGAAGCGCTCTCCACGCGAGGGCGTCGTCGCGGTCGTGGAGGACGGCGTCGCGGTCGTGGAGGATGGCGTCGTGGTCGTGGAGGATAGCGTCGTTGTCGTGGAGGACGGCGTCGTGGTCGTGGAGGACGGCGTCGTGGTCGTGGAGGACGGCGTCGCGGTCGTGGAGGATGGCGTCGTTGTCGTGGAGGACGGCGTCGCGGTCGTGGAGGACGGCGTCTTTGTCGTGGAGGACGGCGTCTTTGTCGTGGAGGACGGCGTCTTTGTCGTGGAGGACGGCGTCGCGGTCGTGGAGGATGGCGTCTTTGTCGTGGAGGACGGCGTCTTTGTCGTGGAGGACGACGTCGTGGTCGTGGAGGATGGCGTCGTGGTCGTGGAGAGCACCGCTTTTTTTCAGAGCCGCCAGCACCCTCCGCTTGCAGTCTAAGCGCAGATCGGCTGCCGCGGCGGCCAGCACCGCCGGTGGGCACATGATACGCATGGACGAGCAGCCGGTCAAGCACGTCGTCACCAAGAAGAGCGCCACGGGTGCGACGATCACGGCGGGGCCGACCACGCTGGCGTCTTGGATCCGACTCGTCCGGTAAGCGCACAGCGCCACGAACAGCGCCACGCTTATGGCGGAGAACAGGAACAGCGAGCGCCAACGCTCGGCGCGCAGTGGGTACGCGTCCAGGTAGACCTTGAGGCTGTTGAGGAGCATGGCCAGGTCGCGGCGCCGCGCGGTGTAGGTCAGGTGGTTTACGAACATCATGCACAACCGAAGCTTGACCTCCATGGACATCCTTGTGCCGTGCAGCACCAGCGAGGTGGCAACGATGGCGAGCCGGCAGCACGCCACCGCGGTCAGCACCGCCACCAGGAGCATGGGGTGGGCGCGGCCGCGCCGCCACCACACCGGGAAGATGCCCAGGAAGGCCCCCAGCCTGCAGCCCGCGGCCCAGAGGCACAGCGTGGCGCCGCGGAGAGACATGGCGCCGCACTGAAGGCCGTCTTGTGCTGACGTCGTCCCCAGGTGGCCGTCGTGGTGGGCGTGTTTTGTCAAAATGTTTCTCGCCGCACATGTCAAAAGCATCGAACGGCTTGGACGTGTACTATTCTGACTGTAGCCCCGTCCTGCCTTTCAACGCCATGCCTGGTGCAGGGCCCGAGGCGACACGCGCTTGGCCCTCGCCGCCACGACGCCTGTCCTCAAAGGAAGGACTGGACAAGTGTCGATACGAATCGGCAGCTTTGGTCCGTCCCGCGAGAGGGTAAACATTCCAAGAAATTGTGTACAGAGTGCTTGGTATAACGTGGTATGACGCCGTATCACGAGAATATTACACTCGTATTACACTGCAAGAAAAAGTGTAGATAGTACAACAAACAAAGTACAAACAAGTACAACAAAAACTGTACAATAAAAGTACAACAGTACAACGAGAATTGAACAAACCACAACGAGGCCTGGACTGCACAGCACTCGTCATGCCGGTTGCATTCTACTTTGTACAACAATTGTTGTACTTGAAAAGTACATTAAATTCCTGATACAAAATTTGCCAGAAATTTGTGTACTTTTGTTGTGGTTATTTCCTGCAGTGTACGGCATTAAAATGCCGAAATTTGGCTCCTTTGGCCCAAAAATGGTATTACAAACCCAAAGAACAGAAAATAGTCAAATTGACATCGAGCGACTGAAAAATGACAAAATTTAGTCACCCTCTTGAAAGGTGACATCAGGATGATGTCAATTTGACTCATTACAACTACGAACAAACTATCTGGAATTGCACTATTTCTTTCAAAAAGTCTTACGCCATTTGGAAAAGAGCTAAACTGGCGATAACCTCTGAAGTTAAGATCGTGAAGTACACTTAGTCACGATAACGTCCGTTTGATGTCATCCATAAACACATTTAATCAGTAATTATGGTGAAAAATTCAGACTTCTCTGGTATTCTGGAAAGTCTGTTGCGTTCCAGTGATGAATATAGGTATTTTTGACCAGGAACCCTTCTTTAACCCTTTATCACGGAGTGATCTACCCATTGCTTCAACATCAACCTCTGTAACGGCTTGCCGAAGGCAAGCAGAGAGCGCCGTTAGCTAGGAATGACATTAAAGCCTGGCGTGGATTGTCGTAATAGTAATAAGCGCAGCATCGCGATGGCTGTTACGACAGACAAGACACTGTCAAACGTACACCTACCGTGTTAAACATAGAACATCCACAACAGTTTCGTGCGCAAGTCGAAGGGCTGGGTTGGCAAACAAAGGTATCTACCACCGCCACAAACAACAACAAAATCAACAACACGCCACCAGAATGATTCTTACCTAGATAAGTAAACTGGTCCTCGCGGATCGGTGCAAAAGGTGAATAGTGCGGGCTCCTCTTCCACGAAGAAACCCTATAAACTATGGCACTATCCATGTGACCATTGAAAGTCAAATACAACAACTGCCACAAAGATAGTAGAATAGGTTTTTTTTTTTTTTTTGGGTTTGTTTATTTCATGTAGTTTCATGTAGATGTGATTACAGAGATATTAAATTTCGTAAACATCAATAATTTAAACAGATAAAACACCACAATACATCAATCAGAACGAACATGCAGAAACTTAAATTAGAACTGGACACAGCATGGTTCACAATACTCCAAATGCAGTCTCCCCTACAAGTCTTATTACAATTCACCAACTGCCTTAAAGGTAGAAGATTAATGGAGATGTGATTACAGAGACATGTAATTTTCTTAACATCAAGATAATAAGCAGATAAAACACAACAATATATTAATCAGAACAGACGTGCAGAAACATAAATAAGTACAGGACAGCATGTTTCACAACGCTTCAAATGCATTGATCCCTACATCATAGCGGTAGAGTAGTGTTTATCTGTTTGTGTCTCTTTTATTTTCATGTAATAACAGACAATACATTTTGTTTACAACATGAGATCAAACCCGAAAAAATATCAATCAGAACACGCAGGAATAAAAATTTGAACTGGACACAGCAAAGTGCGCAATGCTCCGAATGTATTCTCCCTACAAGTCCTATTACACCAACAACAATACACCAACTTCCTCAGAGATAGAAAAGTGTTTTTTAATTCTTTTTTAGAAAAGATTGCAGATCCAATTGTTTTTTTGTTTTTGGTTAGCTTATTTTACGTAGAAAAGAATGCACATAGAATAGTTTCCCCCTTTTTTTGGTTGGCTTATTTCTTTGTAAAAAAGATAGCATAGACATTTCATTTCACTAACGTGTTAGTATAATAAACAGATCAAACACGAATATACAACACAGAACAGACGTGCAGGAATAAAATTGAAAACAGTACACAATGCTCCAAATGCATGCGGCCCAAGAAAGTTCTTTTTCATCAAATGCAACAACTACTGCCACAAAGATAAAATTGTTTTTTGTGTTTGTTTTTATGTAGAAAAGATAACAGAGCCATTTCGTTTTATTAACGTGTTAGTATGATCAACAGATCAAGGACGAATAAACAACAAAAGCAAAACAGAGATGCAGGAATGAAAATTGAAACAGGACACACCATGGTTTTCTATGATCCAAAAGCGTGTTGTAGAACAGAGTTGCATTGAGCCGATTTTCTGAGTGACATGCTAAAATTATTTTCCTCTCTCGCTGTGAACTTAATTCACCACTATCACAGCGGTGTGCATGAGCAGCGTGCCAAAGACACAGACCATCCGAACTCTAAAGTTACCCGGGAAAGCGAATGCTGATTCTTCACGCCCACTTAAAAAGAAGGAAAAGAACGAGAAAGAACAAGAAAATCATGAATTTCGCAGGGATTTGTAGGTGCACTGTAGGTAGACCGAACTGATGTTAAACCTCCTGTGACAAAATGTCACTCTCCTTTCAGAATAGAGCCACTCTCGTTTGGATATGAATCAGCCACAAATGAGCTTACATTTAACCAAAGTGACTGGATACCCAAAGAAGCGAGACATCCAACGAGAAGCATTTCTTCATAATGTAAAGTAGATCCACTGGCTTCATTTTCTTCGTATCGTGGAAGTTTTTTTAAGTGTTGGGCGTACGCAGTACCCACGCACCTATGTCAAAACGGGTCGAAATTCTTAAAGCAACACAATCCTTAGTCGTTCAAAGTGCCAAACGATAGTATAAAAATAAACATACTATTCTCTTTGCTGAATTGCAATAACGAAATACGGTAGAAGTATTTGACTTCGATCACACGATCCACTAGCACAACTTTTGAAATTATTTTTTTTTTAAATTTAAGATTTGGACAGAAGAGCTTTGGTTAAGCAGCGACGGCAATCAGCCCGGCTGCATCATCCGAGCCAAGGAGAGATAACTTCAGTAATTGTACATTAGTGGTATACATACTTTATAAGAGTTCACGCTATTCAGACCAACGTTTGTTAACATAAATACACATATATTTGAGATGAAAATTCACTTCACCTTAGACAGTAAACCAGTCAAATATTATTCACATTTTAACTTTCTTTAACTTCAACATTTACCTTTTTTTAAAAACTTTATATTAAAAACGTTATATTATACTCATATATAATCCATCGTTCAACATGTTTCATAAGAATTCAATCTATACAACCTAACTTCTTTGTACATAAACCCATGCATTGTCAATGAAGACACTTGCGATGGTGTGAGTCCAAGCCGGTCGAAGCTTTGGGATTAACGTCATCAATAACGATTCAAAGGCGACTCTTAGTCACTTTTGAGGCGATAAAATGTGGTCTCCCCAACGAAAGGTGACACAAAAATAAAGAAAAAATCTTGCCTCCAAAGAGGCAAAAACCCAAAGTATCACGAATTCAATATATTCAGACCAACGTCTGTTAACATAAATTCACGAATTTCTAAGCAGATTTGAGATGAAAATTCACTACACCATAGACAGTTAACTAGTCAAGTGTTATTTACATTTTAACTTTGTTTAACCTAATCATCTTTTTGAAAATTTTCACTAGAAACGTTACATTATATACACATATAATCCGTAGTTCAACATATTTCACAAGAATTCAATCTGTACAACCTAAATTCTTTATACATTAACCCATGCATTGTCAATGAAGACATATGCGACGGTGAGAATTCAAGCCGGCCCACGATTCAAATGCGACTCTTAGTCACTTTTGAGGTGATAAAATGTTGTACCCCCAACAAAGGGTGACACAAAAATAAAGAAAAAAAATAGTGCCTTTAAAGACGCGAAAAACAGAAGTACAGTATCATGAACAACTTGGTGATACATCCAAAATACGACAGTAAACTAGATATGTACAGGGGATATGATAGTTCATTGTAAAATTGATTAACAAGGGCATGAAACACACGCATTGATAGAGAGTTTTGCTGAGGTCCAGTGGAGCTTTACGTCCAACCTTCGGATGAGATTAACTGCCCCGCCACTCTGGATTTAGAGAGAACAAATTGGGATCTTGAAAAGGACTCTGTCCCAACTCCCACTGGTATGCATTCGTAGATAAAAAACTGGGAAAGTGTGGCACAGGTTCCATGCATGTTTTCCATACCAGTTTATATGAGATACTTATACTAGGAATAAAACGTACACAACATTTCTACTTTTTCCGTGCCCATTTTCCGCACCAAACGACGCAGTTTTTTTTGCATTGTGGGTGTGTTTCGAGGGGGCAACCACTCGGGAAACCATGGGTCTAAAGAGCCCTTGAGACTAGAGAGCATGAAATTTCTGGATATCTGAAATTTTCCCCCACAAAGGGCAGATAGCAAGGAAAATATCGGCGCCAAATCGGTCCAAATCTTGCGAAATCCAACGAAATCTCGTCTCTTATGAAATCTGGTGTCCCCAAGCGTCGAAAACGGTTGCCCTCTCGATGTCCTTTCACGCAACCATGGCGTATGTGATGGTGCCATTGAATCCACGTTTCTTCAAGGCCCGCACTCCCGACTGGCAGGACTTGACAAGGACGAGCCACGAGCACCGGAAGACACACCACTCAACCAGGACGTGCACTTTCTCTACTGTTGGCGTGTACAATGAGCAAAATGCCTGCACTACTTTCTCCGGCTGAAGTGGCACCTCAACGGTCAGATCAATGGTAACGTCCTTGAGGGCAGGCAGACTTTTGAAGACGGGGGTGAATTCCCAGTTCAAGTACAAGCTCTCAATTTTCTGGCACTTTTCCAGTGCCGTGAGCAGGTCCGGTCGTGGCGGGAAGCACGGGCGAAAGTGCGCACGGACAAGGCTATCCACCAAGAGGTCTTTGATCAAATCATGCTGCCTTGTACCAGTCGGTTTCTCCACCACCTTGATTCCTTTCAGATTGGGAAAGCAATCCTTCAGCTCACCACTTTTGTACACGAACTTTTTGTGCACGTACACTGTCAACTCTTCAAGACAGGGCATCTGAGAGAGAACATCCACAGGGCTATGACCCAACTCAGTTTTCGTCTTATTGTCCAATACTATGGACAGCCGCTTCAGTTGGTTTCGGCTACGCCACACTAACTCCAGGTACCCCTTGCGTAGCCAGCGTGGCGGATCGCATTGCAATGAGAGCTCAGTGCACACAACCACCTTCTCTATGGCACGCAGGAAACGGTTGTTGGGGCGGCCTCCTGACACTGGGGGCGATTCACTGAGACTGACATGCAGGCTGCCAACGACTGGAGCTACTGTGAGAACGGTCCTCTCAATGGATGAGGCCACCCTGTTGGCTTGCACGCAGACCGTCACCCCGCGCCAGGCGGCGGGGTCCGAAGACACTTGCCGCCAGCGCTTGCAGACGAGGGGGACGGCGGTGAGCAGAGTCGGGCCGTCCGTCACGCGGCTGAAGATGAACAGCAGCAGCTCGTCCGGCAGGTCACCCATTTCCGCAACGCTGAGAACGAAAATAAATATCATTGTCACTCTGGAAAAATAAAAAAAAAAAACGTACTTTCACTCTCAGACCTATATGGATTTCTTTCTCTCTTGCTTATGACGTTTTTTGAGCCAGCGTAAAATGTACTATTTTTTCTTTAACTATGCACAATGTTGATCGTTATAAAGATACAATTGACGATAGGCCATGTAGAAGATGAAAATACGTTGCAAATGTCAAAAAGAGGTTTCATGGACAGGATTAATCATGCAATGGAGGAAATAGTGCATAGCTAAAGAGAACATAGTACATAGGCACCCCAAGGCTGATAGTTGGAACCCCAAACTTGAAACTTGAAACGTTTGTACGAAAAGCTTTATGGCAAGAGATAAAGAGTCAATACGAGACTGAGAGTGTACATCTGAATATAGAACGTATGCAAACAATAATTTGCATCAAAATCTAGGTTGATTTTGGAATAACATAAAGGCGTACAACTAATTTGTTGTCATAACAAACACTTTGCTCTCGATGCAAATAATTCGTAAGGAGTACAAACATTTGACTTTTTTCATTTTCATGATTTTCAGTCCCCCTGACGATATTGTTCGTTCTGACAACACATTGATAGTACGCCCAGCAACTTTCTTTTGACAATGCCAACACACAACATACATTTTCATTGGTACAGCAAATTCTTTTATTACGTGTTCGTTTGACAGCGGGTTCCCTAACAACATTCCCTCCTGGCGCATTCCGGGGTCATCCGAGCAAATCCGTTCCTACCACTTCACTGTTTTTTTCTCAGGTTCCTCTTCATTATTAGTGCTCTTGACGTTGGCGTCCTTGCCTGCCTCGCACACAACACCATTGTCCTTGGCAGATGTCATCTTGAATGCACGAAACAACTTGTAGTGGTCGACACGCACTACATCCTGCAACAAAAACAGATTTCACGTCAGTATTTCAGTGGACGCACAATCGTCACTGCGAGGGGGCAACCACTCGTCAAATCCTGTGTACACTTGATGGGCCAAAACCTTGCGTGAAATCAGTAAAAATCTCGTGGAATTCCTTTAAAATGTGGTAGAATCTCGCGAAATCTCATAAGAATCTGGAAAAATCCCGTCAAGTCCCATCAAAAGCTCACGAAATCCAGCATAATTTTGACGCGAAATCCTGCAAAATCTCGGAGAAACCCCTACCTTTCAACAATCCTGTGTACAAAAGAAAATTCCTCGCGTCCTTGTCATTCCTGGAACGTGACACCACGTTGAAACGAACGTGACAAGATGTCACGTCCCTTTGAGCGTTGTGTCACATTCGTTTCAACGTCAGTAAACTAATAAAGCTGATTCACATCCAAGCGACTGTGACACATTGCTCAAAGGAACGTGACATTTGGTCACAGTCGTTTAAACGTGATGTCAAGTTCCTGGAATGAGAGTTGTTCCAAAGTGACGGTGTCAAGAAAAAAAGTACGATCATCCGATCAAGTGGCTGGGGCTGTGCAGGAGCCGCGTGGACGAAGACTGCAGGCTCGGACTGAGAACGGCCTTGTGTGAGTTTTCATATGCCCACACCCACACTGACTCACCGGCTGTAGCGAGTCGCAATGAGGCTAGTTGTGCTCGTTGTGCTGTGCACAACTGCAGACTCCTCCTTCAGTTGTTTCTGCGCTCCAGGAACTGAGCTGGTCCAGCGCCACGTCCGTGCGGCGCTCCGCTCCAGACGGGGTGGCACCTGTGGATCAATACATAACGCCGAATCAAACCAGTGAGCGTCGCTGCTGTCGCTTCCCCCACCCCTTCCGGCTCAGGCCACCTCCTCGCGAGAGTTCAGGGGGTGGTTGCGAGGCTGCTGGGGTACTGAAGCTAGTTAACCGTCACGCAAAAACACCTAACTCTCCGTCAACTAAGAATTTTAGAAGTTTCAGTGTGAACATAGCAAAGCATGCCTGCACGTGCACTTCACCTGAAGCATACACGGCAAAGTACACTCCACGCTGTAGCAGGCTCGCCAAGTACACGACAGGCTGCGAATACCAGCGTCTGTTGCGATGCTTCACATGCAGCAACAGTGCACTTGCAGGGGTGCAGGCGTGCACTAGGCAAGCGTGCTCCAGCGTGGACTGTACATGTCAGGTTTGCTCCAGATGGAGTGTACTTGCAAGCGTCTCAACCTGATTGAGGTTACCTGAAGTATGCCATGAACACACAGTTTGTAGAGCATACTTACAATCCATGAATCCTACATCCCATTCGCCAAGTCCAAAAAAAAGAACACGAACAAGAGCGAGTCTACGCGTTGCACCGTGGTCCAAGCCGGTCTCCGAGCCGGCCTCGGCTTCCGGACGACCCCGCCCACCTTCGCTTGGGGGCGGTGACTGCGCGGATGAAGCGCGTCCGTTTCCGACGAAAACGGCCTTGTCTGGGTTGGCTTACGGCCACTCAGACTCACCAGCCGTAGCTCGCTGTGCTGCAGCTGGTTGTGGTGAGCACAATAAGAGGCTCGGTCCTCACTGCAATTGTTTCCGCGCACAAACGTTGGGCTGGTCCAGGCCACGTCCGCGCGGCGAGGAGCTCAGCTGCAGACTGGGCGGAGCCAGCGGGTCAATAAATCACGTCCGGAGCCGCAGCCTCCCCACCCCGCTTCCCTTTGCCCAGCCCACTTTCCCGGGAGAGTTCAGGGGGTGGTGAGGCTGGGGCAAGAAGACCGGTGGAAGCGGCCTGAATCCCGGACGCGTTTTAAACTCCAAAGTCGCTAAATGGGACTCGAACCGAACGTGTGACCCCACCAATGGATTCCTCGTTAGGAGAGCCATGCATTAGTGGGGTCACACGTTTGGTTCGAGCCCCATTTGGTGACTCTGGAGCTCAAAAACCCTCCGGGATTTCGGCCGCCTCCGCCGGTCGTCTGGCCCACTATGCGACGGTTTGGCTCAATGACGGGCTGCTTGTCAAGGTACAATGGCACTAGAGCCCATTGAAGTGCCTCTCTCCAAGCTGAAAGTTCGGGGGGACGACAGGTTCAGCTTGTAGGGAACGATAGAAACTGTTGAACGCATGTTGCAAGGGACGGCGAGGCAACAGGAGCGATCCCGTCGAGGCCCGTTGCCGACCACGACTTCGGCTCACCGTGCTATCTGCTTGCCATAGTCAGGGATGATACCCAAACCGAAACGATACCAGGGCCGTTACGACACCAGCTTGAACGACTTAACTCAAAAAGTGTAGCACCTGGAACCAAGGGAAGAGGTTTTCCTTGTTGATCAAGGCGTACCGGAGTTTTGTTCCCATATGGGCCAAGTCCAAATTCCGCTTCCCTAAGTTTTGTTGATTTAGGCCCCAAAAAGAACAAAACTCATGGAAGTGGAATTTGGACCTAGTCCATATAGGAACAAAACTCCGGTACGCCTTGATTAACAAGGAAAAGCTGTTCCCTTGGTTCCAGGTGCTACACTTTTTGAGTTTTAGACATAAGTACAAACTGTTGTCGTAACGGCCCTGGTATCGTTTCGGTTTGGGTATCATCCCTGGCCATAGTGGTGCACCTTTCTGTCCATCCCAGATCCGACGCGCTGGTGATCCTTCGAATTTATTGCTGCATTTCTCAACCCCCTGTCAGACGGTGAGCTGGTCGAGGGTCAAGGGGTACACCGTGAAAATTTAAAATACCAGCTTGGAGGAAAGGGAGCACTAAATGACGATAGCTGATCCTCTTCCTTTTCTACGGTCATAAATGTTGCGGCACCGCGTCAGCGTCACACTGTAAAAAATTCCGTACTTACGTACGGAAATGGTACAGAAAAATATAGTACGGAGGTAAGGAGAAAAGTACGGAACGTTCCGTACTTGCTCCATATGAACCCATGTAAATGGGTACGGAAAAAAGTACGGAACGTTCCGTAGCTGGCATAAGTACGGACGGTCCAGGCAAATTATTGACCAGACACGTTCCGTACTTTTTCCGTACGTTTTTCTCCCAGTGCATCTGCGATCCCGCGCTCGGAAAATGGCGGAAAATGGCGAAGAGCACGTGGAGTGTCCGGGCGAGGGGAAAGGTCAAGTCAGCGTTGCCCGGGCAACTAGCGGGGTGTCTTGATCGGGGAGGGGGAGTGAGAGAGAAAGAGTAGGGGGAGGGAGAGAGAGGACGGGGAGCGGGACAGTGTGAGAGAGGGCGAGGCGATCGGGGGGGGGGGGGGGGGGGTCGTATGTCGCTGCAGCCGAGATGCGTGCTTGGGGTCCGGGCGACAGGCAGGGGACGAATCGGAGATTCCCGAATGGTCCCGAGCTGTCCCGAGGGGCCGTTCGGGCCGAGCGGGCCCGTCACCCGGGGATCTCCGAGCTTGCACCTCGGCTGTGCCGAGCTATCTTGCCAATCGAGGTGCATGCTGGGAGATCCCCGGGCAACGGGCCCGCTCAGGGCCGGCCTTTCGGGACAGCTCGGGGCCATTCGGGAATCTCCGATTCGTTCCCCTCCTGTCGTCCGGACTCCGAGCACGCATCTCGGTTGCACCCGAGCAACGAACCCCCTCGGGGCCGGCCTCTCAGCCCCATCCGGAGCAAGAAGGGGGAAGGGGAAAGGGGGTAGGGAGGACAATGAGCAGAGGCTTTGCTCTTGCTGCAGGGAAGCTACTGGAATGGCATTCATCCCCTCCTTTAATCCCCTCGGATAGGCGCAACTTTTCCTTGAGTTTTGCAAGGTCTTTCTCTTTAGCCCGATGGGTGGCGTTGTGGTCGTCGCTCAGACATCCGCGCTCTTCCAGGTGACAAAGAGACGTCAAGGGAAGGCCCACGCGAGCATTGAAAAAGATTCACCCAATCATTGGCTTGTGGCGGCCCGTCGAAAGACTGGTCCAAAACTGGTCATTATTCACCCTTCAGCTTTGTCTTCGCTTGCGCCCACCCTACCTCACCTGTTTCCAGCCACGCTGCTCCGTGTTGATCTAGCTTGTTGAACTGACAGCTCAAGTGGAGCTTGTTGAGCCGCAGCGAGTTCGTGTGCTGCACACAACGGGAGACTTCCGTCCTCACGACAGTTTTGTGCTTTTAAAATAACCGTGTTGGGCTGGTCCAGCGCGATGTCCGTTCCGCGGGGCGCTCAGCTCGAGACTGCGTGGTACAAGCGGGTCAATAAATCATGACCCAATCACACAAGTTCCTACCCCCTCCCCTCCCCCTTGTCCAGACGACCTCCTCCCAGGAGCACGGGGGTTGGTGACTCTGGAGCAGCGAGGCTTACCTCGCTATACTTATAAAATTGATGATTGTATGAGGATTCCTGACGAGGGCTGTCAAAAGATGACATTTGGGGTGACATTTTGTCTGCAATGGTGGTTGCCTACTAGAGGGTTCAGCAGGTGTTTTTTTTTTTTAAATCGTAACCACATGGTTGAATCTTTTCAACTGGTAAAGGGTTGTATCAGTAAATTGTTTAAGAGCGGAGCGAGGAGAGAAATTTTGCGGTTCTTAGGGTAACGCCCTTTGTAGACATAGTCGTGCTTTTTCTATGTCGATTGTTTGCACATGGCTATCCCTTAAATTCCTTCCCCACCTCTGCCCCTCCCAGGCCAAAAGTTGGGCGCCCCCGGCAGCTGCGGCCCTGAACACGAATTTGGGTGATTTGCCCTGTGCAATCAATTTACTCACCAGGTGGCTGATATGGGACTTCCCTTTTTCGTTTTGTATAACTGTTTAAGGAACAAGATTTTGCCCACAGATTAGGACTTTAAGTCACTGATACGCACTTGCAGCACCACTTCCTGGAAACAGAGTCAGTATTTCATTGCATTTCCATTCATTCGACAGTGAGATTACTAAGAAAACTTATGGTCGTTCGATTACAAGTGCTTGTGGGCCTCTAAATGTTACGGTTTCTTTGCATAAATCAAAGGACACTTTAGAGAAAAAGGTGCGGAGCCGAGATGCAGAGATGCATGCTGGGAGATCCCCGGGAAACGGGCCTTTCGGAATTATTCGGGCCATTCGGGACTTTCACTTCGTGATGCTGGCAGCGCATGCGCACCAAAGCCTTGCATTTATTTGACCTTACCTCTGTTCTTTCACCAATTCACTTAAACTCTGCAGCAAGTTTGATTCTCTTCATTCCACAATTGCTTCAGGGCAGCAATTTGAAAAACATGGATCTTCCCCCTACGACTTGTCCCTACGACTGGATAGGCGCAATGTTTCCTTGAGTTCGGCAACGTCTCTCTGTGCTGCCCGATAGGTGGCGCTGCTGTGGCCGTCGCTCAGACATCCGAGCTTTTTGTGGTGATAAAGAAAGGTTCAGGGAAGACCCACACACAAAATCCACTATGTGTGTACTCAGTACACATTTGGTGCGTGCTTACAAGCATGCACTTCTAGGTGTGTACTTGCCTACGCACGCACCTAGAAGTGTGTACTGAGTACACACAAAGATTTTGTGTGCAAGCCGACAGCGATACGACTCGCCCAACGACCCATCGAAAAAAAACGGTCCATAACTGGTCCGTGACCCTCAGGTCACGGCCATCCTGCCTCAGCTTCCTTAGCTGTTGTGCGGTGGCTGGTCGCGCGCGCTGTGTCTAGTTGAGATGCAGCTACAGTCGTGCCGCAGCTTGTGGAGCTGAGCTCGTGAGCTGCGTACAAACATTTTCGTCTTCACAGCAGTTGGTTCCGCGTAGTGTTCTAAAGGGTAGGAATATTCCCGGGAATTTAGGGAATTCCCGGGAACGTTCCCGGGCACAATCAGACCCAAAAAATGGGAAATTCCCGGGAATTTTTAAAACATGGCTAAAAATAGCTAGTTTTTGCACGAAAAATGTTGATAGTGCAAGGGAACCAATTAATAATTATGAATCACTCTAGTGTATTTGCATTTTTCTTTCAGAAGAGAGCAAGAAAAAATGTTTCGTAATACTAATAAAAAAAAATTCGTAAGAAAAAGTTTAATTTTTATCACATGAGATGGGTTTCATTTGAAGCAATGTTCCCGGCCAAATGGGAATATTCCCGGGAATTCCCGGGAAGTCTCGGGAATATTCCCCTGAATGATTGTTCCCGGGAATTTTCGAACACTAGTTCCGCGCTCGGCAAACCGCGGCAAACCGCGTCGGGGGTTGGATTGGTCCAGGTCAACGCCCGGCGGGGCGGGGCGGGGCGCTGTGCGGCGGCGTGCTCAGCTCCAGACTGGGTGGTGCCGGCCGGTCAATAAATCGCGCCGCCATCAAACAATTGAGCGCCGCTTCCGGCAGCGCGGGGATAGGTCGGCGCAACCGAGACGATGCATGCTGGGGGCATCCAACGAGCCCGCCCGAGGCTCTCGAGGGCGTTCGGGACACTTCGGGTCTTCCCGACGCGTCCAGCGCTGCCCGCGCGGCTGCAGAGAGGTCCGCCGACCTGGCTGCGCAGGCAGCACTCGGCGGATCGGGAAGACCCGAAGTGTCCCGAACCGCCTAGGGAGCGTTCAGCGGGCGCGTTAGATGCCCCTGGCATCTGAGTGCAGAGAGCGAAATGGTGGTTGCAGGCGTAATGCACTCGTGTAAATTTTGTCAAAATGTCAGAAACATGTCTGAATTCCTGTTCAAAATTCGCGCACCTCTGAAAGCTGAAATTCTGAAAACTTACTCCGATATTGATGGTTTGAGTTGTTCTACAGACTGTCTAGAGCGAGATGTTTTCAGCTTTCAGAGGTGCGCGAATTTTGTGATCAGGTTTTCAGACAGGTTTCTGACATTCTGATAAGATTTACACGAGTGATGCTCCTCTTCCACGACGGAACCTTCTAATGGCTTTATCCAAACATTGGAAGTCAAATGCAGCAACTGCCACAGACATAATAGAACAGTTTCATTGTTCGTTTATTTTATGTAGATGAGATTACAGAGACACTTAATATTATTTAGATGACAGTATAGTAAACAGATTTAGCATAAACATCAATTAGAACAGACATAGATTCACAAGTACCATTTGTCTTGAATGGTGCTTTCAAGACCATGACGAAGTCGCCCCAAATGCAAGTCAACGCAAGTTGTGGCACAACAAACTCATAGATAATATACACACTTAACAAAAATGCAACAGTTGCGCCTCACAGATGGCAGAATAGTTTTTTTTTTGCGTTTGTTTATTTTATGAAGATGTGTACAGAGACATTTAATATTACATGGTTGTCTTATAATAAGCAGATTAAACATGAATAAACATCAATTAAAACAGACTTACAATCAGAAGTACCATTTGTATGGAATGGTACTTTCAAGACAATAGTGAAGTTATCCCAAATGCAGGTCAACGCAATTAACGTCACTCCAAAATTTTCCTTCTTTTTATCATTTCCTGCCTCATTCTTGGGGCATCACAATATACGTATTATTGACACTGAATGGCAAAGTCTATAGATTGCAGAGGCGTGTGAAAACAATCATTTGATCCACTACCACAACACAACGTTCATGATAAACATCTATGATTCGTACAGAAAAGGTGACGTTCACCAACGTCCAGCGACAACTCTAGACGCCTCATCTGAGCCAAGAATATGACTTTAGTAACTGTATATTAGTGCACATATGCACGGCAAACTTAAAAGTGTAAGACATTCTAACACGACGTAAAGCAAACCACTACATCTCACGCTTAGAAGTGTGAGCCTATTTTGTCCCAACGCTTGCAAGTATGACTAACGGTTGGACTCACACTTGCAAGCGTGGGACAAACGCAGCGCACTTTTGATATCGTGATAAAAACTGGTTCACGTTCACAGTAAACAGATAAAGACTGTCTCACTCTTGGATTTACAGAGTAATACATATTCAAACATGCTTTGCTTCTTCAAAATTCAATCAAATCACTAACACAGAATTTGTGGTTAAAATTAATTAATTGGGCATAAGTGGTTACGTTTAGCAACGTCTAACAATAACCCTGGATAAATAATCCGAGCTCGGAAGATTACTTAAGTAAATAACCGATAAACGTACAGAACCATTTTCAAACATGAGTAGTGTAGGGCACTATAAGTGACAGTGACACTTTAAGGGCAACAGTGAGGAGAGGTTGGCTTGCTTTACTTGGAGAACCACATAGCTCGAGAACAGGCTCTGCAGACTGCTGTGACCGGCTCTGAGGTGCGATCCAACAGACAGTTTGGGCAACAAAGAACACTTTGCTAGGATAGTGCATGCAGAAAGGGAGGCAATAGTGGCGCGAGCCTTGGACAAGGAGGGGAACCCACACTGCGAGAAAAAGTGAGGACAGTACAACAAAAGTACAACAAAACCTGTACAATAAAAGCACCACAGGGATTGTAGAAAGTACAACGAGAACTGTACAAACCACAACGAGGCCTGGACTGCACAGCACTCGTTATGCCGGTTCCACTGTACTTTGTACAACAATTATTGTACTTAAAAAGTACAATAAATTCCTGATAGAAAATTTGCCAGAAATTAGTGTACTTTTGTTGTGGTTTTGATAAGCATACCAGAGAAGGAAGAAGAATAGAAATCAGAACTGACACTTGTTGCTGTATTGTAAGTCGCTACACATGCCTCATCAGAATTTAATCTATTCAGGCCAATCAATATTAATTCGTGAATGTCAATGCAGATTAGGATGAAAATGTATTACAACTTGAAAAGCAAAACGGTCAAATGTTAATCAAGTTTCTGAAATAAGGCTATAAAAGTGTCATTTAAGTTACACAGTTGTTCATTATCACATAATGTACGAATTTTGAAAAAGAAAAAATGACTACGAAGGAATTAAATAAACGACACCCTTCTAGTGAAGGTTCCAGCGCCTGTCAAGTCAACCTCCAACCGCGACTTCTGCTGCAGTATGTATGTTGCCTTTCCCCTGAATCCCAGTTCTCGCATGGACTCCACCCCCTTGTCGCATTTGTCTCTAATGGCTTTAATGCATCCAGGGCACATTTGGCACCAAACTGTTACGTGCAAGTACCGTAATGTTTGCGAGTACAACGACACAAAGATCGGCACAATTTCATCGGCAGGAGTCGATGTGTCCAAGATCACATGAACGTTAGCGCATTTTAGGGCAAACAGAGCCCGAAAGGCAGGGGCGTATTCCGAACTTATAGTCAGGTCAGTCAAATTCTGGCACTTAGCCAGTGCCGTGAGCAGGTCTGCTCTGTAGGGGAAGCCAGGACGAAAGTGAGCCTGGACAAGGCTAACCACCAACAGGTCTTTGATCAAATCATTCTGCCTAGAACTCCTCTCTTTCTGATTCACCTCGATACTTTTCAGATTGGGAAAAGCTCGCTGCAATGTCCCTATTTTGTACTCGAAGCCATTTTCTACGAAGAGATATAATTCCTCAAGACGGAACATTTGAGATACCACATACAAAGAGCTCATACCCTTGTCAGTTTTTGTCGTATCGTCTAACACCAAGGCCAATCGTTTGAGGTGGTGCCTGCTGCGCCAAACCGATTCCAGGTACCCTTGGCGTAGGGAACGTCGCTTACCGTCTTCCATCATGAAGAGATTTTGATGCACCAGAAAACGACCATAGTCACGGACAACGCGGTGGTTTGGGATGACTCGTCGTTCAGTAGGCCAGAGGAAATCATTAAAGTATGAGCAGCCATCGACTAGAGGTCGTGCGCGATGATGGGATAACTCCATGAGCAACTTCGTCGTCTTCACCGCCCTTACTATGCCGTGCCAGCCGCGCGCCTTCTCCGCCACTGCCTTCCACCGCGGGCTCACACGGGGAAGGACTACTTGGAGAGTGAATGAATCGTTGATCCGGGAGAAGATGTGGAGCAGAGCATCCTCTGGCAGGTCCTCAATTCCCAAAGCACTGAGAACAAAAAGAAAGTCAACATTATTGCCACGCGTGCACCGGAGACCTGCGTGTGCTCAATACACCATCACCCTTTAAACGGGTGATGGTACCTTGTTGCCCAATTTCGGGGTGACGAAAAATTCACCACCCGAAATTTGGTTACACGCGTTTTTCAAAACAGGGTGACGTCAAAACATAACGAGAAAATAAAAATAAATATGTTGCAATCAGAGATGATATCCAAACCTAACCAGGGCCGTTCCGACAAGAGTTTGCACTTTTGTCTAAAACTCAAAAACTGTCGCAACTGGAACCAAGGGCCGCAGTTTTGTTTCCTTATAGACCCGGCCAAAATTCCGCTTCCCTGAGTTTTGTTAATTCCCCAAAAATAACAAAACTCAGAGAAGCGGAATTCGCACTTGGTCCAAATGGGAACAATACTCCGGTACGCTTTGATCACCAAGGAAATGAAACTCGCTCGGTTCCAGCTGCTTTAGTTTTTGAGTTTCAGTCATGCAAACTGTTGTCGTAAGGGCCCTGGTATTGTTTCGGTTTGGGTATCATCCCTGGCTGCAAAATGTTTTTTGCTGGAACTTTGATACACAGCGCAAATCCTTGTGTGGAACAGTCTCACACAGTTTAGTGTGAACCCTCTTAAGTTGGAGTCCCCCAGAAACTGGGCACCTTTGTCACCCGCCCCACTTTTTGGGGTGCCGAACGTCGCCCAGTTTCTGGGTGCCTTTATCACCTAGTCTGGGGATGGACAAACCGTCACGGAACCTGCTTTCATCAATGACTCAGCGGCGCTACCATGGGAGAGGGCCAGTTGCTGCATGCTACAAACCTAACAGTCTACAAAGTACACACTTGCAAATGCATACTTGCAAGTACACACTTACAAATGAAAGTTTGGCCAAAGTACACACTTAGAAATGCATGCTTGGCAAGTACACACTTACAAATGCATGCTCGCAAGTACACACTCACAAACGCATGCTTGGCCAAGTACACACTTACAAATGCATGCTTGGCAAGTACACACTTACAAACGCATGCTTGGCGCCGTATAACTCCATGCTAAGCATAGGCATTTTTAAGTGTGTACTTGCCAAGCATGCATTTGTAAGAGTGTACTTAGTAGACAGTTAGGTATGTAGTGTGATTCGTGCACCCCGAGACTGGGGACTGGGGGACATTTGGCACCCTGAAAAGTGGGGCAGGCGACAAAGGCACAGTGTTTCTGAGCACTCCATAATTAGAGTATACGTCTCGGCTTGCAGCCAAGTTTGTCCCACGCTGCCAAGTGTGGGACGCGGCGATGCCTCACACTTGCAAGCGTGATTGAGTCCTATGGCATTGAACCAAGGGAACAATAGGCAGCAAGTGTGAGACGAGCCATGTCCCACACTTTCAAGCGTGGGATAAACGTGGCTCACACTCTTGCAAGCGTAGGACATAGCAGTTCACACGTACTCTTGGAATTGCACTGTAATGTGACATCAAAATGAAGTTATGGTGACAACAATTATTCGACGTCTCCTAATAGAATAACCCTAACTATCAGTGCTGATCCAGGACAATCCTAACTGCTCAGAGGTTTCAGAGGAGGCTAAAACTGCTCATAAGCTCTCTTCAGTCCAAAGCAGCGAATCATGACATCACTGAAATACAGCCTCCACGTATATATGCAAGGTAAATACATTTCCACGGTTCATGGCCAAGAAAATTGAAGCAGCACGTTGGCGTCACAGAATTTTACAAGAAATAGCTTTTTGCGTCGTACAATCTGCGCTGACAGTATCGTCTTGGATCAGCACTGACAGTTGGGATTATTCTATTAGGAGGCGTTGAATTGAGGTGAGGATGATAGTCAACTTTTACGATTCACAACACGGTAAAAACGGTTCCTGGTTTTCCCAGGAACTCCCTGGAAATCGCCTATACCTTCACCATTGGCTTCCTGGGAAAACCAGGTTCCGTTTTTAGCGTGTAGCCTTCCAAAGGTCACTTTGATGTCTCTGATACATTTGTGTTCTTTGAATAACCTCAAATTGGAGACATGCCATCTTTCCAGTTGCTGGATAAGCTGCTCGTCCCTACCTCTTTTTTGGTTGCTCCTGAGGTTGCGCTGCATTTACTCCGACGGTAGGATCCCCGCCTGCGACGGGGATATCATCGCCTCCCTCCTCAAAAGGTTCCATCTTTAACGGACGGATCAACTCCTAGTCGTCGACACACGCCCTTAGCACTACTTCCTGAAACAGAAATAAAGTTCGCGTCAGTGTTCCCGCAGGCTCGGTTTCATTCCACACTCTGAATCCAGTAATGTGACATCAGGTTGAAACGAATGTGCCAAAATGTCGCGTCCCTTTCAGCATTATGTCAAATTCGTTTGAATGTGAATAAGCCATAAATTAGCTTATTCACATTCAAACGAATGTGACACAATGCTCAAAGGAACGTGACATTTTGTCGCACTCGCTTTAACGTGATGTCACATTCCTCGAATGAGGGTGAATGCCACGGCGGGGATATGAGTGATTGCTAAAGGATTGCTAGTACAAGTTTAAATGTAACGACTAGACTTCCCGTCTGCATTTCATCCGGTCTATTACTTTTAACGGGACACTAGAAGCAATCATACGTTGACACTGGGTGATCATTTTACTTTGAACGGCGGCGTCGTCGTCCGTGCCTCGGAAAAGAACGGCGAGCTTTGGACGGACCGAGTGGAGGATTTGCCAGGGGCAGTGTGGACAAAGAGAGTCCGCTTGGGACGGGAACAGCGTTGTCGGGGTTAGCTTACGGCCACACTGAATCACCTGCTGTAGCTTGTTGTGCTGTAGCTTCGTGCTGTAGCTAATTGCTGAGCCCGTGTCCTGCGTACAGGAGACTCCGTTCTGACAGTAAATGGCACCACGCTCCGCACACTGTGTTGTGGTGGTCCAGAACCACGTCCGTGGCGCGGGGCGCTCAGCTCCAGACTGGGTGGCAACAGTGGGTCAATAACCCATCCCGAATCAAACAGGAGGCGCCCCTCTCGCCCCTCGCCCAGCCCACTTCCTCACGGCAGCACAGGGGAGTCTGGCGTCAGGCCGCCAGGCTTGCCACACCGGCAGCTTCGGGGCCCGCCGGGCGCTTTCGTGTGACGGTGACACCGGGCACGGCACAATAAGAAGTGGCCTCGCGCGTCCGACGGGAGCAACAGCCCCTCCCCAGGCGCACGCGCGGCCAGCCGATCGGGCGCCTTCGGGAGGACGTGACCATCTTGACATTACTTCGGGCGCACCTCGGAATCTCTTCGCGACAACAGATCTGTTCGGGCCGGCCCGGATGCCTTCGGGCGCGCTCGTGTTGGCCGTGATGGAGTGATATTGATTCGCGACAATGGCGGGCTGCTTAGAGCACTCGATGAGAGCAGTTGCCAGACATGGCTGGCCCATAAGCGCACCCGCCCCCTCACAATGCCTCCGAAGGCGCCCGAAGGACATACGAGGCTTGTGCAGTCTTCGCTTCGGGTCGCCCGAAGCAAACTGCCAAAACCGTCCCACGGTTCGGGAAGTTCGAGCCACGATGCAGAAACGCTTTCTACACTGTGCCAAAAAAGTACGGAAAATTCTGTTAATTTTTTTGACAGGATTTTCCGTAGCCCTCTTATCAACATTCTCCGTAGGCTCTTACAGTATTCTCCGTAGGACCGCACACTGTTAAAAAAATTCTGAAAATTCAGACAACTTTTTTCAGACTTGACGTTATGAAACATCAATTAAGACCTTTTTATGAAATTTCATAACTTTTGTCTGAGATGTCAGACAGGGCAGTCTGAGACCGTGCTTGGTCTGAATATTTGTACCCAGTCTGAAATTTCATAATGAGGGAAGTCATAAAATTAAGATTAGGCTGACTAATACAAAACCAGATATACAAAATCAAACGTCGCGCATCAAAGCATTATGATATTGGCAGTTGTTATGTTGAGGGAGCATGTTGAATGCAAACTGTGGACCAATCACTTCTCAAATGGTTTGGTCCACTTGCTTGCAGCCGCCTGGAGTTACGTTTCAGGGACCTGCCGCTAGGTGGCGCATGGAGCGCTGCGGCAGATCGCCATTTTGTATTTCCGATTAATGTCATTAAAGTAAATAATTTTTGCGAACAGCATCATCTGTTGCTTTATTAATTATCAGCTCTAGCCTTTAGCAATAAGTTTGAAACAAAATATTACTATGAAGTCGATAAAACCGCATTTCAATGTTAGCTCTCGCTGGCGTCTGCGTTCGGTCATTAGGTTGGGTGCCCGCATGATCCTCCGTGATGTTGAGGCACACATGGGAGATTCTATATGTGATCTCACCCACCCTCGAACGACGAGTGACTCAGTCTTACTGCGGACCATCTCGTCTGATATTTTTTGAGTAGCGATGGTGTCCATTGTGCGCGGAATCCCGGCGCGCTTTGAAGTTTGCTCTTTCTCTCACAGGAGAAAAATCGTTATCCGTCCAGTAGGTCCGCCCTAACAAGCGTCTAGACCACCACAATAGGCTGCCCTTTCCGCACGATTGCTGCAGGATGAATTCACACAGTATGTTCTAAAGTTTTGGACAAAAAGTATGAATTTTCAGCTACAAAGCAGTGGGAGTTTTAAGACTTGGCCATGTCTGAATTTTAAGACTTCATTTTCAGACCAAGACGAGTCTGAAAATTAATAACGAGTTTATGTAAAAGTACTTCACTCAAATTAGTCTGAAAATTCCGAAATTTTTTTTAACAGTGCACAGTATTCTCCGTAGGACCTGGATGTGCGAATAGTTCGGTATAGAATCGAATCGAATCACCCCTGATTCGATTCGGGGACGGATCTCTTTGCTTCGACCCCAAATATTCGGAATTTTTGAATCGACAGTGGTTCGTCTTCGAATCGGTTGCACGGGAAAGGTTGAATGTAACGTGCATAGCGTTGTTTTTATGCCAAAGCAAGATCAGATATTTGATTTTCCTTCTTTTTGTATTCCTGCACTATGCCCTTCCTTTATTACAGAAAGTGTGTTTAAAAACGCACTAATTTTTTAAAGTTTCAGTTCGAATTCGATTCGATTCTGAATCTTTAAAAGTTCGATTCGATTTGATTCAACAACTTTTTCCAGATTCGATTCAAGTTCGATTCGAAACTTTTTTTTTGCGATTCGAAATGAAAATCCTTGATCCGCACATCCCTAGTCCTACGGAGAACATTGTAAGGTCCTACGGGGAAGATTGTATGGTCCTACGGAGAATATTGATAAGGGGGCTACGGAGAATTACCACAAGCTGCTTACCGAATTTTCCGTAGCTTTGTGCCACAGTGTACACTATGTTCTGGCGAAGCGCGCGGTGCTTTCGTGGCAACTAGGCAGGCACCCGGGGTTTCGAATTTCAAGCCAAAAACTCAGGTTGCAATAAATAAATGTGTTAGAATAAAGGATTGCAATCGTGTAAATGTTGTCAGCATGTCAGGAACATGTCTGAAATCCTGATCGAAATTCACGCACCTCTGAAAGCTGAAATTCTGAAAACTGGAACCTGATATTGATGGTTTGAGTTCTACAGAATGTCGGCAGATGCTTTCTGCTTTCAGATGCGCGCAAATTTTGATGAGGTTTTCGGACAGGATTCTTTCAGACACGATTTACAAGAGTGGATTCAATTTTGAAATCCACTAGCCTTGTGTGTGCCTCGAAAAATACTTGCAAATTTTTAGACTCATTGTATGGAAGCCCTGAGCAGTGCTTTACGCCTTGATAAATGGACGATTCAAAAGAAATAACATTGTAATTTTTAGGGGTTCCGACGAAGGAGGACCCCTATTGCCCGGGGCCGCTCAGAATTCTTCTTCTACGGACCCCCCAGGATGGACATTTCGCTCCCGCCATATTAATCCTTTTCATAATACAATAAAAAGTCCAGAAAATCTTAAAAATTTATCGTGGAAATTTTCCGTAAACGACTAAAACATAAATTTGCAACAATCAAGCACCCTTATCCGTTCACATTTTCCAGAAACGTTTCGAAGAAAAAATGTGCCACTCCTCAAAACTAAACTTCCTGCCTCATCAAAGTGACAAAAACTAATCACTGTTCTAAGAAAATAATAAAAACATGAAGAAAAATTCTCGATGAAAACGTCCCACTGCCATTATACCAACTGTCAAAATTTAAAGTCCATGATAAAAAGAAATTAAAACGCCGTAAAATTCACAAATGCCAATGTTCACTCATTGTACACTGATAAAACATTTACACATAATTCAAATCTGTCATTAGTAAAAACTTCACAGCAGAAAAGACAGAATAAATAGATTTTCCGCAGTTGGCAACAATTTTCTCGGCGTCTGCGCCCTTTCGAAAATCGCGAGGCTGAAAAAACGAGTAGTCGCGCATTGAAACTGCCCCTCCATTGTTGCTGAGGTTGGATTGTTTGGCTTGCTTTTAAAGGCTGCGGTTCTCGTCTCATGTTTTCCTCAATTCTATAACCAGCACGACGGTTGGTTTGACAAACTTTTTAAACTCGGGAGGGGTGCTTTCGGAACGCGGATGACTTTCGGTTGACGAACATGAGCGAGCACTGTAAATCGCGAGATCGCGAGATGGACTGAGATGGTCATTGTGTTAACTGAATCACTTTTGGGAATGTAAAAATATCGGTAGGATTCAAAGTTACGTAAATAACGGTAAAATTAACGTAATTAACGTTTAAATGACAGATTTCAAAATGATTTCCACAACCGGAACACCGTGCAATGCGTAAGCATTGGAATTTTTATTGTTGAAGGTGGGTTTGATTTCGAGAGAGAAGTTCCGGGACGAGGGAGAAGTGCCAGTCCAAACGACAAGGATTTTTGAAAGCGCCTAAACATGGCCTTAAAACTGGTCTCCGTCTTGTTATTGATGCGTTTTAAAGAGAACGCCACTACAAACCCAGGAGCATTCTTTCTCACTCTAAGGAGAAAGCAGCTCACGCGGCTCGGTGCAGAGGTGCAGAGGGCGAAACGGTGGCCGGAGGTGAATGTGCTCCTCTTCCACAGAGGAACCCTCAACACTATGGCACTATTGGACCATTGGAAGTCAAATGCAACGGCCACACAGGTAGTAGATTAGTTTTTTTAAGTTTGTTTATTTCATGAAGATATGATTACAGACACACTTAGTATAATTTACATGTCCAAATAATAAACAGATTAAACATGAATAAACATCACATAAAACACACATACAGGCATAAAAAAATAAAACTGGACATATTATGGTTCTCAACGCTACTAATGCATTCTCCATAACAAAGTCCCATGACTTTGGTTTTCTGACTGTTATGATTAAATTGGTTTACTGCTGCCACAAACCGTTTACATAACGTTTACGATTAAAATGTATAAACTAGACACAAAAGGTTACATAACGTTGAGCAACTTCCAGCAATAACCCTGGATGCATCATCCGACTTAGTTAAGTCTTAAGTTAAGACTTAAGTTAAGTAACTGTTTATCAGTTAATTCAATCATTTCAGCCGTACGCCACCAAACATAAATTTCATGAATGCCAACACAGACCTTTTATTTCACTTAAACAGTAAATCAGTCATATGTTGTTTACATATTTTAAACAAGGTTATACAAGTTACGTTTAAGTTATACAGGTTTTCACAGTTCCCTTTCAGTAAAATGTCTCTTGGTTTTTAACGTCATCCGCCGTGTCATTAAGGGGGCAGTAGCGTCATTTGCACGTGTTTTGACGATTTTCGAATGTCCTGTTTAGACGTTAATATAGAGATAAGTATAAATGTCAGAGACAAACGGCAGGCACCATTTAAAAGATAAAAGTTTTTACAACATTTAAAAAAAAAATATTTTGTTTTAGCATTGAATTAGGATGTTTTGTGTTCTATGCAAAAATTGTCTGCAAAATTACATGGTGTCACTGCGCGCACGATTGCAGCCAAAGTTTTTAACTTTTTACCAATCGGTAAAATGCATCCGAAAAAGCATGAAATCGCCCATAAAATGACCCTTGGGTTTTAATATTGGGCCAGAAAAAATGTGGTTCGTTTCCATCTAAAGTTGAAGATGAGCGTTTCAATAGTTTTTGTTGCCCAATATTGAAACCCAAGGGTCATTTTATGGGCAATTTCATGCTTTTTCAGATGCATTTTACCGATTGGTAAAAAGTTAAAAACTTTGGCTGCAATCGTGCGCGCAGTGACACCATGTAATTTTGCAGACAATTTTTGCATAGAACACAAAACATCCTAATTCAATGCTAAAACAAAATATTTTTTTTTTTAAATGTTGTAAAAACTTTTATCTTTTAAATGGTGCCTGCCGTTTGTCTCTGACATTTATACTTATCTCTATATTAACGTCTAAACAGGAGATTCGAAAATCGTCAAAACACGTGCAAATGACGCTACTGCCCCCTTAAGGTCAGTCCCGTAGCCAGTCGACACTGCACTGTAAAAGTAGATATCTGAAATCATCATGCGACCTGGCAAAAATGGTCTCGAAGAGGCTTCCGAAAATTTGCCACGATGAATTAATTCAGTTATTATTTTAAGAAGATTCCCGGGAACTTACAGAGATTCTCGCTAAACCTACGAACATTTATCGTTTAATCAGGAAGGCTCTTCGAAAATGCACGAAAATTCTTATTTTGTAACAAACTGTCGTTGTGAGTTTACACTCTAAATGTTCTACAGTGAAGATTCTCCATATTATGGTGAAAATGTTCCATATTATGGTGAAAATGTTCCATATTATGGTGAAAATGTTCCATATTATGATGAAAATGTTCCATATTATGGTGAAAATGTTCCATATTATGGTGAAAATGTTCCATATTATGGTGAAAATGTTCCATATTATGGTGAAAATGTTCCATATTATGGTGAAAATGTTCCATATTATGGTGAAAATGTTCCATATTATGGTGGTGCAGCTGACTTCGTAACATACCATTGAGAATTCACTGTACCTAATAGATATTTTGACGAATTTCGTTGGAATTATGGAGAAAATCTCCACCATAATATGTTGGTGCAGCCTTTCATCGTAAGACATTCACTGGATACAATGGAGACCTTGGCATTATTTTTTGAGGCTCCTCCAACTGTTGCCAACTTATTTCTGTCGGTCTTGCTGATAATTCAATTTTATCTGCTGTGCTCTGCAGAAAGATTTGGTCAAAATTGTGACAAAACTAAGTATGTTGCCCCTCCTTTGCATCCCAGTTTTTCCACTGCCTTCAATATCCTCTGGCACTCGTGGTGGAGGGCCGAATGGCATACCGGACATAGTTTACAGTAGACTATCACATGCAAGTAATCTAACCTTGGCGTGTACGCCGAGACAAAGGTCTGCTCAAGGATATTTATCGGAATTGGACTGTCCAAGGTCAAATGAACGGTAACGCTCTTGAGGGCAGGCAGACTCCGAAAAACAGGGGCGTAGTCAAAATGAACGTTCAAATCAGTCAGTTTCTTGCACTTTGCCAGTGCCATGAGCAGGGCGGGTCTGGCTGGGGAGCCCGGACGGAATTTGGCACTGACAAGGCCATCTACCAAGAGGTCTCTGATCAAATCATGGTGCACGGGGCTGGTCTCGCTCTCGACCACCTCAAAGCTTTTAAGATTGGGAAGAACTTGCTTCAGTTGACCACTCTCGTAGACGAAGTCAGCTTCCACATTCACTGTTAACTCCTCAAGACAGGGCATGTGAGAGAGCACAAACAAAGAGCTATGACCCAAGTCAGTTTTTGTCGTATTGTCCAATACCAAGACCAGTCGTTTGAGTTGATGTCGGCTGCGCCACACTGCCTCAAGGTACCCCTGGCGTAGGGATCGTGGCACATCGTCTTCAACCATGGAGAGATTTCCGGACACAAGTAGTCGGCTTAAATCACGGACAACACAGCGATCGGGGATCACTCGTCGTTCAGTGGGCCAGAGGAAAAACTCGACGTATAAGTCAGCGACGAATGGAGCACCTTCGGGCGGCAAGGACATGAGGCCCTTCACGATGTCTGTGAGGTCTCGCCACCTACGGGCTTCACGCGCCACTTCCTCCCACCGTTGTGAAACGGCTGGGAGAACTTCTTGGAAGGTGACTCCGTCGCTGACCTGGTGGAAGATTTGGACCAGTACCCCGTCTGGCAGGTTTTCAATGCCCGGAACGCTGTGAACAAGAAATTCATTATTGGTTTGTGCGCACTCAAGTCTTCATAAGTACTTAGCACACTCCTAAACCCACTGTGTGTTCTCAGTTCACACTTAGAAAACACTGAAGTGCTTTGCAGTGTGTACTCCGAGGTGTACTCAAAACACATTTAAGATACCAGTACGTCTGTACTCGTGTTAATCCTGTCAGGATGTCAGAAACCTGTCTGAAAACCTGATCAAAATTCACGCACCTCTGAAAGCTAAAAACTTTTTCTGACATTCTTTAGACCTCAGACCATCAATATCAGAGTAAGTTTCCAGAAATTCCTTGAGCCACAACCCGATAAATTTTTGCCCTCCATACTTTCGTGCTCTTTGGGTACACTCTCATCCTCGTATTTTTTTTACTCTCTTCCCTGGGTGAGGCGCCAATGGGCGACCAATGGTCCGTCCACACTGCAACCTTAGACACCTGGTGCAACCTAGACACCTGCAACCTAGACATTGGTGCTTATGGTCGTGATGGGGCGACCATGGTCGATCCGTGGACAGGCCACGGACAATCCATGGTTGGCCCAAAGGTCATCCATTACAAATGGACAACCAATGGTCATCCTCAGACGGTCCATGGACGGCCAATTGACAATGGCTTCCTCGTGCATCTAAGTCTCCAAGTACTTTTCACAAAATCCTTTTAACTTTTGATCCGTTTGTCCGAAACAAAATCTGAATTTAGAATTGAGTGAAGCGCGAAAAGTTCATGTAGAGCCCACCATGTAATTCTGACTTGGAAAGGCTGCTGAATACTGGGAGGACTTTGCCAGAGCAATATGCAGCCATCACTCGTGTAAATCTTGTCAGAATGCCAGAAACCTGTCTGAAAACCTGATCAAAATTCGCGCACCTCTGAAAGCTGAAAATATCTTCTGACAGTCTGTAGAACTGATACCGGCAATATCAGAGTAAGTTTTCAGAATTTCAGCTTTCAGAGGTACGCGAATTTTGATCAGGATTTCAGACATGTTTCTGACATTTTGAGAAAATTTACACGAGTGAGTGTGGACCCTCCCCTCCATGGGCCGTCCATGGACTGTCCATAGATATGAGCAGTTGCCAAAATTCGGGGCACTTTTGAAGGCCATAGAACCGCAAGAAAAAAATGTGGAAAAGTCGGTTTTTTTTCGGCTAATTTATTCAGTGATGTCCCACGACTTATATCTGAACGCAGTCGAGTCGATGGAAATATTGTTCCTAATTTATGTACAAATTTGTACATATAAGTTCTGTATGTACAAAAACGGCCATAGCTATGGACAATAAAGTACATAAGACATTTAGCGTGTAAGAGGCTGCCAGTGAAATCTCGGATTGGAGTGGACGTACACCTTTCTTCCCCTAACGGGATCAACTGAGCTTACCTCGTGTCCTGGACATCCTTGACCTCGCCATGCAGAGGTTCTGACCCAGACTTAGAGGGCTGTCCGTCCCCGCCCGTGAGCTGGCCCTGCAGTGGGGCTGATCCAGACGCCGAAGTCTCGGCCTGCTTCGCACTCATCGCCTCCCGCTGCAGAGGAACTGTTTTCCAATGCACGGATCACCTCCTGGTCGTCGCGACACGCTCGTGCAGCACCTGTGACAGAAACAGAGTTCACGTTAGTCAGTGGACTCACATTCATTCCACAGTGAGAATTAGTGTTCTAAAGGGTGGGAATATTCCCGGGAAAGTTGGGAATCTTGGGGAACGTTACCGGGAACGTTCAAGGCTCCAAAACGGGAACGTTCCCGATTTAAAGTAAAAATTAAGTATAAATATCGATAAATGCAAGAATTTACTGCAAATTTACATGAACTATGGTTTCTGCACACGAAAGTTGAATAATGTTATTGTTTTTGATTAATAAGGTGGGATAAAAATAGAGGTTGTAAGAAATCGCAAACGTAACAGCGCTAGAAACGCTTGTTCTACTATTTGACGTGAATTTTCGGTACTATGGGCAGTGTTAGGCTCTTGGCTCATCCTCGCCAACCGATGCCACTCAGAACTGATCGCTTATAGTATGGTAGTTAAATATCTGCTTAACCGACTGGCTTCAGGGGGACCGACTAATATGTTGAGAATCGACCTAAAAGTTTTCAAAGAAGTTAGGTTCTTATCGACTTAAGACGCAAGTCTTTATAGTCTGAAATAGTAATGGATATAGACTGTTAACGATAGGACGTTGCGAGAATAGCCAAAATTTACCTGTTTGTACTCTCCAGTAGGTAAATTAAGTTATTATCATAAAAAAGCTGAATATTCCCAGCTTTTGGGAATCTTCGGAAATATTCCTGGGAATTTACTGGGAACGTTCCCCAAAATGATCGTTCCCGGGAAATTTAGAACAGAGAATTTAGAACTGAGAATGGTGAGAAAATGAGTGACCTAATCACTCGTGTAAACTTCGGAAGGATTCGATGGGTCCTGTTCGAAAGATCTTATCTGGGCGTTGTTCCCCCCAGAGAGTATCTTATCTTAAACGCAGGCCAATTTCCACTCAGTTTGATCAAAGCTACTAACCAACATAATTAGTGATAAAAGTGGCTTAAACCTAAAGATAAAAGATCAAAGAAGCCAATAAGGCACGTAGAAAGCTATTCCACTTTCTCTCGTATCCGTCGGTCAAAATGAGTGAAATTCACCCGCGTTCAAGATAAGATTCTCTAGGGGAACGCCCAGATAAGATTCTTTGAATAGGACCCCTCGAATTACGCCGCACCATTAAGTGCGGAGTTCTCCACTGTTTGGCAGCGGGAAGCGCCTGGGAGGTAGGCCGTGCCGCCGCACTCCGTTGCGTTGTAGCCTCGAGGGTTGCCTACCCGGGACTTCGCAGGCGCTAGCCGTTGCCGTATCCTCTGGCCTTGTCAGAAAGGGCATAGGGGCCCTCGTCCTGGGTCTCTATGCAGCAAAGGGACTAGTGTTCGAAAATTCCCGGGAACAATCATTCAGGGAATATTCCCACTTGGCCGGGAACATTGCTTCATATGAAACCCATCACATTTGATAAAAATTGAACTTTAAAATAGGAACTTTTTTATTGCGAAACTTTTTGTTTTGTTCTCTTCTGAAAGAAAAATGCAAATACACTCAAGTAATTCATAATTATTACTTGATACCTTGCACTTTCTACATTAATTTGTGCAAAAACTAGCTATTTTTAGCCATGTTTTAAAAATTCCCGGGAATTTCCCATTTTTTTGGGACTGATTGTGCCCGGGAACGTTCCCGGGGATTCCCTAAATTCCCGGGAATATTCCTACCCTTTAGAACACTAAAAGGGACTAGCCCTGAGGGTAACACTCGTGTTCATCTTGTCAGAATGTCAGAAACCTGTCTGAAAACCTGATCAAAATTCGCGCACCTCTGAAATCTGAAAACATCTCTAGACAGTCTGTAGAACTCAATCCATCAATATCAGAGTAAGTTTTCAGAATTTCAGCTTTCAGAGGTGCGCGAATCTTGATCAGGAATTCAGACATGTTTCTGACATTTTGACAAAATTTACACGAGTGAACACTCAAAACTCTTAGGTATATACTCACGAGTGCTCTGAATGTTCTTGCAATCAGGAAAGCGACCGCCTGCACCGCCCTTCTCCTCGCTGGGCTGTGGTCCGCTGCGACCACCTTACCGCTGGCCCCCCGCGCAAAGCGAGCGCAGCACCAGCAGGCAAAGCAGCAGGCTGCACAGCAGGTCGATCAGGAGGCAGAGCAGGTTGCCAGCGCCGAAAAGTTCATCCATGCTACATTCAGTTGAGGATTTTCTGTTTACACTCCCGGGGTGTGAGTGAATCCTACGCCCCCAGAGGCGTGGATCCACGCCTCTGCAGGCGTAAAATCCACACTCACCCCGGGAGTGAAAACAGAAAATCCTTAACTGAATATAGCACCAGCCGACATCACCAGCCGCGCCACCCGCACACCACAGTGCTCGCCAGTTGCCCTACCCACCCAAAGGGCCCCATCAACGACTTCGTGTAGACCACGCGAGACGACCTCTGCGAGCTCACTGTCATTCGATGAATTTGACGTCACATTCGCTTGATCGAGAATCTTGTCGCGTTCGTTTGATAGCGATGTCACATTTGATTCGACGCACTGAGTCTGAAATTCTGAAAACTTACTCTGATATTGATGGTTTGAGTTCTACTGACTGTCAGGAAGTGTTTCGAGCTTTCAGAAGTGCGCGAATTTTGATCAGGTTTTCAGACAGGTTTCTGACATTTTGACAAGATTGACACGAGTGGGAAAGAACGTTAGATTTCGGGTAACTGAGACTCATTGCCCCTGGCAAGACTTTCAGTCCTCTCAATTATTGAAGAAGAAAACACCGTAACTTCTGAAGACGTGGGGGAGCGTGGCTTGCAAAATGTCCCGTAGAATAGGGTACCCGGAAATCCAGGGGAAGTCAATAGTCAATAAAAACTGAGGGAAAAGTGCGTCGTGTGGCCAAGCTGAGTCCTAGACTGACTACGCGCGGGGGAGTTGCCAGGGGCTGCGTGGACAAGGTGTGCCCACTTGTGACGAGAGCAGCTTCGTCTGGGTAAGCTTGGCCGCCCTAACTCACCTGCTTGCAGCTTGTTGTGCTGTGGCTAGTTGCTGGCCTCGTGTGCTGTGGACAAGAGACTCTGCCTTCTCAGCACTCGGCTCTGCACTCCGCGGACCGTGTTGTGGTGGTCCAGGGCGGCACGTCTGGACTCCGGGGCGCTGAGCAGCAGACTGGGTGGAGCCGGCGGGTCAGTGACCGATGCGGAATCAAACGGTGGCGGGGGCGTCCCTCCCGCCCCTCGCCCAGCCCACTTCCCCACGGAGCACAGGGGAGGCTGGAGCCAGGCTGGAGCCAGGCTTGCCACACCGGCCGCTTCGGGGCCCACCGGCTGCTTTCGGGTGTTGCCGGGCCGAAATGGCCTCGGGCGCCGGGCCTCCGAACGCAACAGCTCCCAGCGCATGCGCGGCCGCTCGGGTTTCCTCGGGAGGACGTGACCATCCCTACAGGTCCCGGCGGTACTTCGGGCGCACTTCGTGGAGCCGGAGCCGGCGCGGCGCCGGCAGCCTTCGGGCCGCGGTGGAGGGAGGTAGGGTGGCGGCACGGCGCTGCCCGGCGTGAGCGGCGTGAGGCATGTTTTGGGGGCGAGGTAGGGTTTTTCTACCGCTCACGAGATGGCGCGCGCGACGCTAGACGGCTGGCTCGAACACCCGTCCGGTCTTCCTGCGGTCCGGGCCGCGCACCCTTCCCGAGGGGCTAAACACACCAAGAAATCGTGTACAGAGTACTCGGTATTACGCTGTATTACGCAGGGATGATACCCAAACCGAAACAATACCACGGCCGTTACGACAACAGTTTGCACTATGACTAAAACTCGAAAAGTGTTGCACCTGGAACCAAGGTAAGAGGTTTTCCTTGTTGATCAAGGCGTACCGGAGTTTTGTTCCCATATGGGCCAAGTCGAAATTCCGCTTCCCTGAGTTTTGTTGATTTAGGCCCCAAAAAGAACAAAACTCAGGGGAGCGGAATTTGGACTTGGTCCATAAAGAAACAAAACTCCGGTACGCCTTGATCAACAAGGAAAAACTGTTCCCTTGGTTCCAGGTGCTACACTTTTTGAATTATAGTCATAAGTGCAAACTGTTGTCGTAACAGCCCTGGTATCGTTTCGGTTTGGGTATCATCCCTGGTATTACGGGGATATTAGACGAGTATTGCGACATTAAAATGCCCAAATTTTGACACAATTGGCCCAAAAATGGTGTTACAATTACGTGTTTAACGCCTAATACACAGTTTTTGTGTACAGGGTATTACGCGAGTGTTTACCCCCTCGCCCTTCCCACCGCTGGACAGGGCTCAGTTTAGCCGCGACACCGTGCTTCGGGCGTTCCCGGACGCGCTGCCGCGCTCGGGCGCTGTCGTCCTGTCGGGGGCCGGGCGCGCTCGGGTCGGCCGTGTCCGGCAAGCGTGGCTTGAGCCTCCCCTGTGCTCCGCGAGGAAGTGGGCTGGGCGAGGGGCAGGTGGGACGCCGCCCCCAGATTGATTCCGGATACTCTACAAATCAAAGAGTGTACATAGTATGCTCTAACTGGAGCATGCCTGCAAGCACGCTCTAGCTAGCGCATACCTGCCAAGCATGCACTAACTAGTGCATACATGCCATGTACACGCTAACTGAAGCATACATTTACTGCATAAGGGATAGGGAGTTTTCTGAATCAGGAAGCGTGTACATGGCATGTATGCACTAGTTAGTGCATGCTTGGCAGGCATGCGCTAGCTAGAGCGTGCTTGCAGGCATGCTCCAGTTAGAGCGTACCATGTACACTCTTTGGTTTGTAGAGTAGGTCATTGACCCTCCATGGCTGGAGTAAAAAGGATTCGCGACGATGGTCGGCTCTTTGTCGGGGTTAGCTTACAGTGGTAGAACTCAAATGTACTTTTACGCCTTTCTTCAGTAGTAGGACTACGCTCGGCTTCAAGCCGATGGGTCCTATGAACAAAGACCGATGTCTTTTGGGTCGCTCAAACAAAGACCGATCTCCTTCGGGTCGCTCGAACAAAGACCGATCTCCATTTCGGCCGTTTCTGCATTCGCCGCTTCTTTATATTGTAGTTCTCGCAACAGACATCCAACTTAAACAATAGTTTGAAGGTTTTGTTCCTAACATATTAGAGAATGATCATCTTATACTCATTTGTGTGGAATCAAAACGTAGAGATTGTTCTGGGACTTCAAAATGAACGCGTTGAGAGGTTAGGAAATGGAGATCGGTCTTTGTTCGAGCGACTCAAAGGAGATCGGACTTTGTTCGAGCGACCCAAAGGACATCGGTCTTTGTTCATAGGGCCCATCGAAGCGTAGTTCTCCATTCCACCCCTCTCCCGGCTATCTAAATGCATGGGAAGATTTCTTCTCTACGCTTGACGTCAAGAGTAAAGTCTTCAAGCGTAGTTGTATGCTTGAATAAAGCATACAACTACGCTCCAGTTTTACCAGTGTACAGCCGCACTGACTCACCTGTGCAGTTTGTTGTGCTGTGTGCTAGCTAATTGCCAAGCTTGTGTCCTGCCTACAGCTGCCTTGGGAATAAGAAAGTGGTCTGTCCATGTAAACGCGTCATTTTGCTGCCCAAGGGGCGGAAATTTGAAGCGTTCTGCAGTAACACGAACCGTAATGGCCGAACTGGCGCCCGGAACGCGTTTCGCTGCCGCGCGTAATGCCGATCACTCGTGTCAATTTTGTCAGAATGTCAAAAACAAAAGTCTGAAATCCTGATAGAAATTCACGTACAGTACTTCTGAAAGACGGAATTCGGAAACCTTACTCTAGAGTTCTGTCAGAATAAGTTTTCAGCTTTCAGAGGTGCGCGAATTTTGATCAGGTTTGCAGACACGTTTCTGACGTCCTGACAACAGTTTCACGAGTGATCTGGACCCAATAACTTGCCAGGGGAATGCCTTCAGCCTCGATGCTGAGCCGGCTTGTGTGTGGATGTAGCTGAATTCAGAAAATCACTCAGGAAATCCTGAATGAATTTACACCAGTGTAGCTATCTGGCGCGCTGTGCAAAAGAGACTTTGCCTTATCAGCCGTCGGCTCTGCGCTGCGCAGAACGTGTTTGGGTGGTCCAGGGCGCCACCTCCGGGCTGCGGGCGCTGAGCAGCAGACTGGGTGGAGCTGGCCGGCGGGTCAGTGACCCATGCGGAATCAAACGGGGGAGAGGCGTCCCTCCCGCCCCTCGCCCAGCCCACTCCCTCATGGAGCACAGGGGAGGCTGGAGCCGGGCTTGCCACGCCGGCAGCAGCGGGTCCCGCCGGTTGCTTTCGGGCGTTGGCGGGTACAGTAGAAAAATGGCTTCGGGCGCCCGACGAGCGCAACAGCTCCCAGCCAGGCGCATGCGCGGCCGTTCGGGTGACTTCGGGAGGACCTGACCATCTCCACAGGTCTCGGCAGTACTTCGGGCCGGGTCTCGCCGCCGCCACAACAGATCGATGGAGCCTGTGATGCCGGTTCGGCTGCATTCGGGTGCCTTCGGACGTGCTCGAGCGGCGCCAGGGGAGCGGGCGCGACTTGGGTCGGCCGTATCTGGCGAGGCTGGCTGGTGTGACGAGGATAAGGCAGGACCGTATGTCGGCAAGCGACGAATCAAGCGGGAACATTCAAATAGATTCCTTCCTCGCTGTGGCCACCGGGTTGACGCTGCTACGACACATCATGGTTTACAAGCTCCTTATGTTCACACCATCGCTCGTGTAAATCTTTTCAGAATGTCAGAAACCTGTCTGAAAACCTGATCCAAGTTCGCGCACCTCTGAAAGCTGAAAACTTCTCCTGACATTCTGTAGAACTCAGCCCATCAATATCAGAGTAATTTTTCAGAATTTCAGATTTCAGAGGTGCGCCAATTTTGATCAGGATCTCAGATATGTGTCTGACGTTCTGACAAGATTTACACGAGTGATCGAAGTCTTATTACGTCAGTCTTCATAGTGGCTCAATTAAATGATTAAAGTCTCGCTGCGACAGTGCCTATGCGCAGTTCATTTAAACACATGAATCACGCGAAAAATATGAAACGCAATAAAGCATGTTCGTGGAGGCAGCAGCGCCGGCCCGGGAGCCTTCGGGCGTCCTCGTTCGCGCTCGCCGCACAAGGCACTTTTTTTTTTTTTTTTTTTTTTTTTTTGGGGGGGGGGGGGGGCACTGGGCGACACCGCACAGTATTTGTACCTTTACAGTTCAAAGCCAATAGCCTATAGAATAGAACGCAGGTTACGGCTTTGTTTTTGAGCATGTAGTTTCGACAAAATCGGCACCCGAACAGGAAAGTTTTAGGCAAAGGACAGCACAGCAGTTGCAGTTGGGCCGGCTTAGGCAGTTTTAAAATTGAAGATGCGTTACTTGCAAGTTTGGTTAGTGTGTGGGATAGTCAGGGAGATTAAGCTGTGACCTAGGAATCAAACCGCAATCAAACTGCCGAGACCTGTTCGGGCACGAGAGAGCTCACGCGGACAGAGACGGGAACAAGCGGGCAGATTTAGCCGCATCAGGAAGGCCTTGATGTTTCTGCCAAAGTTCCATTCGTGGACAAGCTTGGACCACCTTTAAACGCAAGAAATCGTATCGTGCAGCGTCGAAACAAGTGTGACATCGTAATCAAAGGAGCGTGAACAAATTCTTATTCTAACGAACATGACGACGTCACATTAGTTAACAGTGAGCTCAGTGGCCCCCTCGGGACAGCGAGTCTCGCGTCATTACGTCCAATCTCGACAAAGTGCTGCTGCCGTGGGAGCGCAGAGGATACGGCGACGTCGAGCGCCTGTGAAGTCTGGGGTAGGCAACCCTCGTGCCTACAACGCAACGGAGCGCGGCGGCACGGCCTACCTCCCAGGCGCTTGCCGCTGCACTGCCAAACCAAGTGTGGAGTGGAGAACTCCGCACTTCCTGGTGCGGCGCGATTCTCCACACTTGGTTGTGTGGAGTTTGCAGCCTTCACACTTCTAGAAAGAAGTAGCGCACAGAACCCCTACCTCTTAGCACGCTGCAGACGCACAGTGGGTCAGAATCGAAAAAAGCTGTGCAAAATGTCTCACGGCTAAACGGTTACTCCTATCGGACTCAAATTTTGTGTGCAGGGGTTTCGAGGGTCAGCGAGTTCATTTCTGACGTTATTTTGAATCAGTGGCGTACCCTTTACCCAATCAATTTTTGGTTCTCTATGTTTTGGGGGTCACTGAAATCAATTTTAAAATAATTTTGCTTCCGTGGCATGTCTCTAGTCCAGTGGCGTAGACAAAAAAAAAATAACACATCCAAAAAACTCCTTTATTGTTATGAATTGGTTCCATTCGTTTTAAAAACTGGTGGGTGTCTTTTGGACCCTTTAAACATTTCAAACCGCAGATTCATAACGCTTACGTCTTATTTGTTTGTGTTTAGCCTGCGCCACTTAGTATCGGGTTGGCCACTGATTAAAAATATTGATCAAATTGTATTCAGGGACCTCCTAAACGTTCAGAACGAAAATTTCATAACGATTCAGTTGTTTTTGTTTTTTGTCACCTACGCCACTGGGTGAAGAATACGCCACTGAATCAAAATAGTGCAAAAACTGAATTGAGGAACCTAGTAAACTTACAGAATACAGATCTCATAGCAATATAGGTTTTTTTTTTGTAATTTTACCTACGCTACTGGGAAAAGGGTACGCCACTGACTCAGAATAACGTTGGAAATGGACTCGCCGGCCTTCAAAACCCCCGCACACAAAATTTGAGTCCGATCGGCGAAACCGTTTGGCTACGGCGCTGCCCGGTCTGGCCCGAATTCCGCGCGCGCGCCCTCTGTCCCTAGTTTTGCTTCTCACGGGTTATGCCGGAACTTGCCGACAAATCTGCGTAGTGCGTTCGATAGAGGACACTTCAAGCTTCAAGTTGGTACAAAAATCGCGGTGCTTTTCGGTGCTTTTCAGGTTTGCCAGCCTATTTTGTAAGAGTGGTTTGTCATGAAAATGGTGGTTTGCATTCCTTTGTGTATTTCGCTCTGTCGCCGAAACTATCAACGATAACGGAATTCCGCTTGTACCAATGGAAAGAGGAGGTTTTAAACTACAGAGTCGTGAGGTTAAATAATTTCTGGACCTCCCTCCGTTCCGTAGAACAGCGCAAGAAGAAACTAGATTTCTCCGACACGCATCGCTTCGCGCTCAGCGTTTGAAATAGCGGAGACGGAAGCGCTCAGCCTGCCGATAACGGGCGGTGCAGGGACAAAATAAAATCAGCTTCTGGCGCACTAGACATCCCTTTATCACATACAGCAATCAGTTTTTCCAAATTCGAACGTTTACAAAATGCCTTTTTGCACAGCTTTTTCCGAATCTGACCCACTGTGAGACGTAGAGACCCCCTCACTTGAAGTAGGTAAAGGCTGCTAACTCGACGGGTCCTATTCAAAAGATCTTATCTGGACGTTCCCCCCAAGACAATCTTATCTGAAACGCCGGCGAATTTCACTCATTTTGATCAATCAGAATAAATACGACGGTAAGCGAAACAAATTTCTACATGCACTTTTGGTTTCTATGATCTTCCATCTTAAGATTTACTTGAACAAATTCACAAATTATGTTGATTGGTAGCTGTACCAAGCGATCAAACTATGTGAAATTCACCTGCGTTTAAGATAAGATTGTCTTGGGGGGAACGCCCAGATAAGATCTTTTGAATAGGACCCCTCGAGCTGTGCACTTCCAAGTGCATTTTACACACACCCTCATTTCAAGTGTGGAGTTCTCCACACTTGGTTTCACAGTGCATTGATTGCTTTGCTGCTGCAGCCGTCACGGCAACCCGGACGACATCGTGGCCCCTATCTTCACCTTCACTCGTGTAAATCTCGTCAGAACGTCAGAATCATGCCTGAAAACCTGATCAGGTCAATCGGAGGGGGTAACCACTCGCGTAATACCCTGTACACAAAAACCGTGTATTACGCGTAATACACGTGGTCGTAATACCTTTTTCGGGTCAAATGTGCCAAATTTTTGCATTGTTAGGCCGTAATACACGTGTAATACCTCCGTAATACAGCGTACCGAGTAGTCTGTACACGATTTCTTGAAGTGTTTACCCCCTCGGGTCAATCCGAGTTCGCGCACCTCCGAAGTCTGAAAACGTATTCTGACGTTCTGTAGAACTGAGCCCATCAATTTTAGAATCAGCTTTCAGAATTTTAGCATTCAGAGGTGCCCCAATTTTGATCAGGATTTCAGGGATGTTCCTGACATTCTGACAAAATTCACACGAGTACCGGTGTAACATCGCGAAACCTCCTATGGCAAGACACTGTCTTTACGAGAAGATTCCCTCGCTGGGAAAGAACCATGCCAAAATTATAACCACTTTTCATTACTCAGGGGCAAGTAGAAGCCCCGTCGAAAAATTAAAAAATGGCCCAAAATTGGTCTGTGAAAATTGATGACTTACCTTGCACCAATACCAACATCACAAGTACAAAAGCATTCTCACCCTGAGGACATCTAGCAGCTCACGCGGATTGGTGCAGAGGATGAAACGGTCGGCGAGTCGTCTGTGCTCATCTTCTACGAAGGAACCCTCAAAACTATGGCACCATGTCTGGGACCATTGGAATTCAAATGCAACAAGTGTCACAGAGATGGTACAATAGTTTTTTGGGGGGGTTGTTTATTCTATGTAGATGTGATTACAGAGACACTTTGTTTCATTGACATGTCAGAATAATAAAAAAATATACACATGTGAATAAACAATAAACATCACTTAAAACACACATACAAGAATAAAATAAATAAAAAAACAGGACACATTGTGGTCTTTAATGCTACCGTAAGCCGGGGTAATATGAGACAATTTTGGGGTAGTATGAGACGGAGTTTGGTTTGCGTAAGATTTACTCTGAGCTCGCTATTCGGCCACAAAGAGAGCCACTGCTCTAAAAAATTAATTACTCTGTGTTGGTAACATTTTTCACCGTGAAGTCTGACAGGGAAAAGTCATCAAGCCACAAGCATTATAGTTTTAACGATAACAATCATGCGTCTCATATTACCCCGAAATTGTCTCATTACCCCGGCCTACGGTACCAAGGCATTCTCCCAAACAAGTCCTCTTACTTTGGTTTTTTAACTGTTATGATTAAATTGATTCGCTGCCGCTGCAACAGTGCTGGCACAGAGCTAAACACAGAAGTCACGCAAGAAATAAGTTACGCTATTTTTGTTTTCCTCTATGCAAACCCAGAATGAAAAAGAAAGAATTAACAACAAAGAACGTCCAGAATTCCATAGGCATGAATAAGTGCACTACACACATATTGATTCCCCAAGCGAGGGTTGAAAGGCTGTCAAAGTCTGTTTATGCCCTTGAGTGCTTATTTTTTATGCCATTTATGGATTGAACACAAGCAGTTATGTTTAGCAACGTCTGGCAATAATGCCCAGATGCGTCATCCGAGCTAAGGACATAGTCTGTATATTGTATATTAGTGATACACATAATCTATAATAAGACATAACGCCTCATAAGAATTAAATCTATTCAGCCCAATGTCCGTCAACACAAATTCACGCATGTCAATACGGATTTATGATAAAAATTCCTTAAACCTCTGACAGTAAATCAGTCAAATGCTATTCAAAAAATCGAAACAAGAGGTTGTAAGGTATACAGGTATAACGAAGTCACCAGAATTCTTCGATTGTAATGAAAAATTTTCGTAAATTTACAATCGAAACTTTGCCAATAACCAAGAGCCCAGCTGAATAAAATCATCTCCTTTAAATAGTCTCTGCAGACGGATCAATTCAAAACTCCTGCCGAAGAACCCATGAAAGCCTTCCTTTGAATCCCAGATCTTCCACGGCCCTCACCCCACTCCGGCAGTTTTTCATTATGGTGTCATAGTATTTCGACCAGAACTTACACGTAATTATTACATGCAAGTAATCTAAGGTTGGCGTGTACGCTGAGACAAAGGCCCGCTCAATTTCATCTAACATACTTGGAGTGTCCAGGGGAACATGAACGTAAACGCTCTTCAGGGCAGGCAGAGTGCGATAGACCGGGGTGTAGTCCCAGTGAACGTCCAGGTCAGTCAGTTTCTGGCACCCCACTAGTGCCGTGAGCAGGTCGAGTCGAAGCGGGAAACCTGGACGGAATTTAGCACTCTCAAGGCGCTCTACCAGCAGATCTTTTATTAAATCATGCTGCCTGCAACTTACTTCTACCTCGACAACCTCGACCCTTCTTAGATGAGAAAAAGCTAGCGGCAGTTGGTCCCTTCTGTAAACAAAGTCACTATCCACGTAGATAATTATCTCCTCAAGGTAGAACATGTGAGATAGCACATACAAAGAGCTCATACCCATGTCAGTTTTTGTCGTATTGTCCAATACCATGGCCACCCGTTTTAGGTGGTGTCGCCTGCGCCAAATCGATTCTAGGTACCTTTCGCGTAGGGATCGTGGCTTATTGTCTTCAACCATGGGGAGAGTTTTATGCTTGAGTAGTTTAAAATAGTCACGGACAATTTGCTGATTGGGGATGACTCGTCGTTCAGTGGGCCAGAGGAAAAGACTGATATACAGGTAATCAACGACTGGAGCGTCTTCGGGCGGCAAGAGTGAGAGGAACTGCACGATACTTGTAATGGCTCTCCAGGCATCGCCTCTATGCGATACAATCTGCCACTTCTCGCAAATGGCGGCAACGAATTTTCTGAGAGTGTGTGCATGCTTTATCCGGAAGAGTTGAAGAAGAAGATCGTCTAGCATGTCGTTCACTCTCAGATCCGGGCTGAAAACAACAAGAAAACCATCATTAATTGCAAAGTGCTCACTGTAAACATTAATGAGTACTCAGCACACATTTATGTTTTCAGTGCGTCCGTGTTGGCCACCGCTGGTGGTTAGCCGTCCAAATCAACAATCCTCCTTCTATGTGAGATTGAGAAAAATATTTGTTTGGGCCCACACTGTAAAATGAGCTGTCACGCTCCTGGAATGAAAGTGTTTGTGCACTATTTTGCTGCCATCCTGGATATACATTAACACAGGCTCATAAGTGCGTTCGCGTGCGATACTGTTATCATAGCATGCATGTCAAGTGTCATGCATGTCATCCACCACACTGTGGGCATAAAGTTACGGAGAAATCTGTAAACAACTTGTGTTAATGGCCCAATCTCAAAAACCAACATATTCTGTACAGCTCTCTTGTCACAGTCTTCTATGTGCAACTCATTGGTCTGAAACAACACTGAGATTCCAAACGCTATGCGTATAGCACGTATGGTGCAATACAGCTGAGATATCGCACCATACGTGCAATGCCTCAGCCATATTGCACCTTACGTGCAATGCATCCCGAAAATGCCCTATGCTAATGCATGGGAATGGGGAGGCATTGCATTTCATGTGCAATGCTTTTGTATTGCACCAATTGACGCTATACTCATAGCGTTTGGATTCTCAGTGAACACTTATTCCAAGAACACGACATGTGACATAAAGCCACGCTCATTTGGGTGCTGTGTCGCATTTGTTTGAATGTGAATCAGCCATAAACTTGCTCATTCACATTCTAACGAATGTGACATCATGCTCAAACTAAAGGAACGTGGTATTTAGTCACATTCGTTTCAACGTGATGTCACGTTCAAAAAACGGAATGGGGAGACGACTGTTAGTCTTGCGGAGCAAATTGCTAAAGGGCTACGGACGGATAATGCTCAGTTTAAGGTGTGGAGAATCATTACGAATAATATGCAACTTTTCAGTGTAAACGGAATTTATTTCTTCATGCATTATTGGTTTCTTTGATCTTTCAATTTCAGACGCCCAGATAAGATGATTTAAATAGGATTCCTCGAACTGTTTTTACCCATCTGGTTGTTCCTCAGCTGGTTGCTCCTGAGCAGGTTGCTGTGGCTGAGCTGGTTGTTGTTGCTGAGCTGGTTGTTGTTGCTGAGCTCGTTGTTGTGGCTGAGCTGGTTGTTGTTGCTGAGCTCGTTGTTGTTGCTGAGCTCGTTGTTGTGGCTGAGCTCGTTGTTGTTGCTGAGCTCGTTGTTGTTGCTGAGCTCGTTGTTGTTGCTGAGCTCGTCGTTGTGGCTGAGCTGGTTGTTGTGGCCTTGGTTGTGCCTGAGCTGGTTGTTGTTGCTGTGCTGGTTGTCGTTGCTGAGCTGGTTGTTGTTGCTGTGCTGGTTGTCGTTGCTGAGCTGGTTGTTGTTCCTCAGCTGGTTGTTGTTTCTTAGCTGGTTGTTGGTTGGCTTTCCCGCCTGCAACGGGCACACCGCCACCCACCTCAGCAGGTCTCATTTTCCACGCACGGATCAACGGCTTCTCGTAGAAACACGCACATGCAGGAAAACTTCCTGCAACAAAAATGGAATTCACGTTTGTGTTTCAGTGAACTCGCGTCCATTTCACACCGGCAATACCAAGGACAAGTGTGATTGCACACTCTTTAAAGCCTTCGAAGCATTTCTTCATAACAATGAAATGCTTTGTATAACGAAGGATTTCGCTTCATAATACGAAGCATATCTACGTAGATTTTACAATGCCTCCATTTTCTTCATATTACGGAAGCGATTCTTCATGGAGTTTTTCCCACGCAAGAGCCCATTGGCCACATAGTGCTGTAGCTTGCGGCCTTATAGCAGTTTGCATTGGTATTGATTAGGCAAATGAAGGGAGTACCTCTATTTTGGCATATTCTAAGTTCGATGGGTCCTAAGAAAATATTCCGTTCTCATTCGTCCGTGGAGAAAAGATTCGATCTCATTTGGACGCGGGGAAAACGTCCGATTTCATTTGTCCCTTGGAAAAAGTCCGATCTCACGCGGACTCTCGAGTTTGAGGTTATGTTGCCCGCATGTTAAATCTTTTACAAGGCGTGATGTCACATAATTAGTTCCAAAATATAATATCACCGCAATCATTGGCGTCTACCTCATATGTCTAAATAGCATTATTCAACTAAAAGGAACTTCATTTGTTCATACGGCGTATTAAGGGGGCACACCAGTGAAAATGTAGAGGTTTTGAAAACGATCACTCTGAGAAAAGTAACCTATGTATTCGATTGATATTTTATTCGTGGCTCAAAATTATATCAAAGAAAAGAAAAATCAGTATGGGAGGTCGGGGTGGCGATGGCAAGACGGAGCGCCAGTGCACTTCATTTTTCTGCGACCTCGTCTCACTCCTGCCACGATTCCGCCTCTCTGGATTGAGCCTCGAGCACGGGATTTGAAAATTTCTCAACAGGACACATGTGGCTATGGTCTGAACCACGAGCATGCAAAAAGAATGATTTTAAATTTGTTTTTTCAAAAGGCAAAAATAAAAAGAAATTTTTTAACCAATTTTTTCGCGCTTTCATGGCTGCAGCTCACGTCCTATTTATGGGATGGCCATTTCCGAGGTTCAGACCATAGACGCAAGTTTAACGAACATTTTGCCGCAAACCGCATTAATTTATCTCAATTTTTGCGCCCGTGAGAGTGGCACAAAGGTACAAAAAAGGTGTTTTGAGAAAAAGCCCTGTTAGTAGAAACATAGATTTGACGGGTTTTTTCGGATTATAAATGCGCTATTTGACGTATTTAAGTTCGTTTTGCGCCAAAATGACCCTCTTTTTAACTGCGTTTGGGTGGTTCAAGGGTTTTGTAATTAAACTTCAAGTGAAAAAGCTGAACGTTCACAATTGGTCCAAAATATCCAGGAATAATAACCTTTTTGGCCCGCCCTTCTATTCAAAAAATAGGGGGAGGGCCTATGCATTTGCCTTTGTGTCTGTGTGTTGTTGTTGTTGTTGTTGTTGTTGTTGTTGTTGTTGGCGTCTGTGTACAAGGAAGGAGTTGAGCTAGAGTAACCAGATTTGGAGGGTACTTCAGGAGTACCGTCCAAACAAATAATCCGGTGGTGCAAATCCCGTCCGGGTCGCACAAGGGCTGCTGCAGGTGCATCATGGTTTACATGAGCGGGAGGGGGATTTCCGCCATTATTGGTGCTAGCAGGGCACATAGGGGTATTTTTGGAATCGGGGCGATGAGACAAGATGAATGGACCTGGTCCCGACCCCATCGGCCGCTTTTACAAGTTAGCCAGATCAGGATCTTCAAAAAAGGGAGTCGACCGACTAAAAAAAATTATTGCAGATTTCGATTGGTCTTAGCAAGACCTTTTCGACGAGGGGTCGGAAAGGGGGTCCAGGAGCCCGACTTCGTCTATTAGTCACATCAGGATCTTCAAAAAAGGGGGTCGACCGACTAAAAAAATTTATTGCAGATTTCGATTGGTCTCAGCAAGACCTTTTCAACGAGGGGTCGGACAGGGGGTCCAGGAGCCCGACTTCGTCTATTAGTCACATCAGGATCTTCAAAAAAGGGGGTCGACCGACTGAAAATTTTTACTGAAGTTTTCGATAGGTCTTGGCAAGACCTCTTAAACGAGGGGTCGGAAGGGGGTCCAGGAGCCCGCCTTCATGAGTTATGGGAAAAAGTGCGACGGACTCGTTTTGCGCTCCTGCTGTGCCTCTATTGCAAGGAGTTGCAGTAGCATGGCAAATATGGGTATTTTCGGAATGAGGGCGAAAAGACAAATGAAATGGGCATATTCTAAGGACAGTTGGAGTAAAAAGTGTAAGGACTATTGCATATTGTGAATAGAAGGGCGGGCCTAAGTCACGATGGTACATCGATAACTTTGCTTTACCCGCTCACGGGGTGTGTGATGCGAGCGGGCCGAAGGCCCGGGCCTTCGACTGGCCAAGTTGGGTCTGATGCGAGGGCCGAAGGCCCGAGAAAAGGCCGCCGGCAGGCCAAGCTGGGCCGGCCCCCTGTCGAACCGAGTTGCCGGCGCAGCGAAGCGGAGCTGGCAACTCGGTTCGACGGAAGGGCGGGCCCTAGCTTGTTAACAACTTCAAAAATGTGCACAAGCCAAAGTAATTGGAATTTTGGGGTGGGGTTTGCGGCATTCGACTCGGGATGAATAGCAGAAAAATAAGATAAAATAAAAAAGAAGGCAAAATTTTGACGATTTTCACTGGTGTACCCCCTTAAAAATAGTAGTTGCTCTCCCGTATTTGGGCAGATCGGACTTTTTCCACACGGACAAACGAGATCGGACGATTTCCCCGCGTCCAAATGAGAACGGATCTTGTTCTTAGCACCCATCGAGTAAAAGAAAAGTTCCAATAACACAAGTAATTCTTTCAAAAAAATGGAGTGCGTGAAACCATGGTCTCCTCTGGGATGTACTCCATCAGAGTCATGTCCTGACCATGGCCCCTTACGCAGCTTGGGTAGGCAGTCCCGCCACGCAGAGGAGCTCGGCGGGACAGTATCCTGGAGTCGTAAGGCGCTCGCCCACTGAATCGACACTGTAAATCCAATGGCAATACTTTTGGTACCTTTTTTGGCGATACAATTGAGTATCGCCAATGAACGGCCTTACGGAAAAGTATTGCCTTCAAAACGGCGATACACAAAAGTATCGCCAAAATTTGGCGATACTTTGGAGTACTGCCACGATTTGGCAATAAACGTCGAACAAATCAAGGGGAGAAGACCTTGGTTTAATGCCGTGGTTTCGGCAATATCAAAAAGTATTGCCAAATTTTGGCGATACTGTTTTGTATCACCGTTCTAAAGGCAATACTTTTCCGTAAGGCTGTTAATTGGCGATACTCAATTGTATCGCCAAAAAATGTGCTAAAGTATCACCGTTGCATTTGCAGTGGATCCAAACTGGAATGGGAATTTTGTTCTAAGGGAGGGTGGGGCACCTAGTGGCAGGGGCACCAAGTGACACAGGGGTGCCCTGGCCACCCTATGGCACTTTCAGATATCTTGAGACAGACGTCTGATTTCTGTCCGCTGTGCCAAATTCTGCGGAGCACTATACATTGTCTAGGAGAAATCATAAGTTACAAATAGTCGATCCTTCACCTCTGCTGCGGTGTTGCGTGTTGTGGGACGGCATCGTCTGCCTTGGAAAAGAGCAGCGAGCGAGCGGACGGTCCGGGCGGGGCAGCCGCCAAGTCAGCCACCAAGGGCTGCCTGAGTGCTGGGACGAGAACAGCCGTGCGAGTTATTCCAGGAGTCCAGCACTGACTTTTATTGTAAACAAGTGAGTGTTGGTGCGGCGAGTTTTAACTCCATTCAGCCACCCTTTTCGCGTAGTTACAGGCAAACGCCTGGCAAAATGCCGAAATAGGCGTTTTTCAGCCAACATCTAAATGAGAGGGGGTGGGTGAAGCCTGGACGGACGTGAACGATTAGTGCAAGAGGCAAACCGGCAAACCCTTTAAAGCTAGCTCGCGGCCCCACTGACTCACCTGCTGAAATTGATTGCTGAGCTCGTGTGCTACATACGAGAGTCACCGTCTATACAGTAATTGATTTTCTGTTTCTGCGCTCCCCAAACCGTGTGGGGCTGGTCCAAGGCTTCGCGTCTGTACGGCGGCGCGCTCAGCTCCAGACTGGGTGGAGCCGACGGGTCAATAAATCTCGCGGAATCAAACAGGGGAGCGTCGGTGTGTACGGCCCCCTGCCCCCTCGCCCAGCCCACTTCCCCACAGAGTACAGGGGAGGTAGGAGCCAGGCTTGCCACACCGGCAGCTTCGGGACCCGCCGCCGGACGCTTTCGGGTCTTGCCGGGCACATTGAAAATGGCCTCGGCCGGCCGGGCGTCCGTCGGGCGCGGCAGCTCCCAGCCAGGCGCACGCGCGGCCTGCCGATCGGGTGGCGCACTTCGGAATCTTTTCTCCGCAACAGACCGTATTCGGTGCCTTCGGATGCCCCCGGGGGCGCTCGGGCGCTCTGTGGCGTCGGGAGCCGAGCGTTTGGGTCCGCCGCCGCCGTGTCGGTCAGGCGAGATTTCGATACACTGTTAGAAATTAGCTCCGAAATTTTATGGAGAAAAACCCTATAATCACGTACATGGAGACTCCATTCATTTTCCATCTTTTTTTCGGAGAGATTTTCTCAGGGATTAAACAGTGTTCTTCGGAGCATTACTTGGGTCCTGATGGGAGGTAAAATGCATGTCTTTTCTCAGAATGGTTAAAGAGGGCTTCGCTGAAGCATTCTTTAGTCTGAAATGGTCAAAGAAGGGACAATCTTTTTCGAGCTCATTTGACTTGTACCCTGTAGCATTCCCTTAAGGGGGGACATCACTCCGAAAACAGTGCTTTTGTAAAATCGTCATAAAAACCAAACGGAAAGAGAAAAATTGTTCATATTTCAACCGATAAAGTATAAAACCACACTAAGTCAATCAGCCAGGGCAGTACAGCGCTTTCGTTGAAAACGCATTTTTGAGTGTTAGGTTAGACCATTTCGCACGGTTGCAGCGCTGGACGCCAAACGGTTTGACCTAGAACAACGAAATTTGGTGACAGCCTTCCTGAGATGTCTGGCTATGGTGGGTACCTCAATCACATTTAAAAAATCATTTTAAGTGGTATTTGTTACATGCCAAAAAAAAATTGTTCAATTTTTTGGGTCAAAATTGTTTAATTTTAAACATTTAAAAAATAATAAAAAATGACCAATGCAAATTATTTTGCTACCCACCATAGCGGCATGTTGTAGGAGCTTCCATGCTAAATCTCCCCGCTGTAGCTCAAAAACTGCGCCCTAGAGGCCTGCAACCGTTTGCAATTTCATGTTCCGAGAAAAACGCGATCAAAGTTGTGGAAACTGGGCTTTTCCCCTATGATTTTCCCCCAAAACCCCCAAAAAAAATCTGTTTTGTTTTCGGGCTTTTTCGCCTTGCGAAAAAAAAGTGGTTTTTCTTGAAAAAAGGCGTTTTTTTTTTTTTTGGATAGCCCCCCTTTTTTAAAAAACATAAAAAAGTAGGGGTTTCCTTTCCCTCTTTTTTCGGGAAATTTTTTCGGTTTTCGTGTTGAAGCATTTTTTGAAAAAAATTAAAATTTTTGGGGGGCCCAAAATTTTGTTTAGGAGGCTCCAGAAAAATTTCAAAAAACCCCAGACCAATTTTTTTCGGAATTTCTGACTGTACATCCCTATGGGAAGGGGGTTTACATTGTTTGCCCCCCCAATTCCTGGTTCCCACCTTGGGGAATTCGGATATGACCAAAATTTGTCAAATTCGAAATTCAAAAAGCCAAATTTCATTATGGGAGCCTTTTCCAATTCAAAACTCCCATAATTTAAATTTTTTCGATTTCGCCAGGGTCCTTTTTGACAGTTTCAGCCATTTCTGACACACAAAGTTTCCGGAAAATTCACTTTTAAACCGGGTTGGCGGGTGCTTACCATGGGAAACCGGGGGTGCGGGGCTGGGGGCCCGCCCCTTTTTTTGGGGGGGTGGTTGCAGGGGGGGGGGAAAAAAAAAAAGGAAAAAAAAAAAAGGGAAAGGGGGGAAAAAAAAGAAAAAAAAAAAAAGGGAAAAAAAAAAAAGGGGTTTTAAGGGGTATCCCCCCCAAAGGTTTTTGGGGGCGGCTGCTTACCTACCTGATAAGAGAAAATAGGCCATTCCGCTGGTTGGAAAAAAAAAAAAAAAAAAAATTTTCCCCCCCCCCGGGGGGGGGAATTCCCCCCCCCCCCCCGCAGGCGAGGGGGCGGATGTTGTGTACTTCTTTTCTTCCTCTTTTCCAAGCAGCGGAATGGCCTATTGCTGCAGGACAGGGTTGCCAGACACGGCTGGCCCAAGTGCGCCAGGCTCTCCAAGGCACCCGATGGCAAGTGCAATAGCCATTCGACGTCTCTGCACTGTCCACATCGGGCACTGCGGCAAAAAGGTACGGAAAATTCTGTAAATGGCTTGTGGTAATTCTCCGTAGCCCCCTTATCAATATTCACCGTAGGCTCTTACAGTGTTCTCCGTAGGACCGCACAGTATTCTCCGTAGGACCGCACAGTAATCTCTGTAGGGCTATACAGTCTTCCAGGTCATACGGAGAATACTGTGCGGTCCTACGGAGAATACTGTGCGACCCTACGGAGAATACTGTAAGAGCCTACGGAGAATATTGATAAGAGGGCTACGGAGAATCCTGGCAAAAAAATTAGCAGAATTTTCCGTACCTTTTTGCCACAGTGCGGTGGACGGGTCACCCGAAACGAAATGCCTAAACCGTCCTGCGGTTCGGGAGCCCTCGGGCGAAGCGAGATGCCATCCTGGCAAATAGGCAACTCGAATTCAGATTTTCGAGCCAAGAATCAGCTTGCAGAAATTAATGCAGTCAACAGCCGTAATTTGTCCTCTGTTACAGGTACAGACCTCTTTTTTTGTCCAGAAGTGCACACTAAGTGGTTTTGTTCAAATTTTGTACGAGACATCACAGTTTTTTCTGCACACGAACTTTTCGTACAAATTTGCACAAAATTTTGTACAAGTTTGTACAGAAATGGCGAAAAATGCGCAGTTTTCCGTAAGAAAATTGCACGAAAATTTCGTCTGCACTAAAAACTGTGATGTGTTGTACAAAATTATACATAACATTTAGTGTGTGATCCGGTGTGATCCTACCAATTTAGCTGACCCTCTCCAGGTACGGATGACGCCAACTTAATCCAACTTCGGCTCACCGATATTTGTCTGCAGCTCCTCCCACTGGTAAAACAAAGGCATTAAAATTATGCCCTTTAAGGGCGTAAACGATTTACGCCCTTAAAGGGCATAAATCGTTAATGCCTTTGGGAAGAGCATTAAAATTTTGCTTGAAATTGCTATACCATTTACGCCCTTCCCAAGGGCATAAACGATTCATGCCCTTGCAAAGGCGTAAAAGAGTATTTACGCCCTCCAGGGCGTAATTTTTATGCCTTTGTTTTACCAGTGCCCAACCAGGTGGAACGGACAAATAACGGCGTTCGATTAAATTAATTTGGAAATTGAATTTTTCAGTCCAACTGCCTTGCCCGCGACTCACCGTTGTGGATATATTTCAAAGGTAATTTCGGACGAAGTAATACGGTGTGCTCTATGAGCGTTATGTTCCGATCATCTTGAGATAAACTGAATCTGTGAGAACAGCGATGAGACCCTGAAGTCAGCCCGAAGTAACTGCTGATACCTATGCGGGCAGGTATAAGGGATCACCTGATGCACGATCAGAAGGGCCCTGATGTTTGTGCCCGCGTAGGGAAACAAAGTGTGGATGGATAACACTTGGGATGTAAAGGTGCGAAATTTACAGGAAATTTCATCCTCAATGCTATTTCGAGTAACGATTCCGACAAAGACCCAGGGATCCTTAACTTACCTCATAAGAGCATCATAACGTTATCATAAGAGTTAAAGTTAGTACCCTTTACTTCTAACATCTTTTCAAAAGGTTAAGTTAATTTTTTATGTCTCGGATTTGTGTGGATATACTTTTGCAAGTACTTTCATAAGTCCGTACCCTTAACCTATAACGAACATTGTCTTATGTTACGTTACGAAAGCAGTGTAAGTTAAATGTTGAGTTAAGTTAAGGATCCCTGCATCCCTAAGACCATAAGAATGTCACGCAAAGAAGAACCGCCGCAGACGGGGCCGCAGACCAAGGTAAGTTTTAGCGCCGAAGGCCAAAAGTAGATTGCCGTAAACTGGCGCGGCATCCCGAAGCCTGTTCCGAAAAGTCACGGTCTGGCCATCAAACAAAAACTAGAGCTAAGACAGAACTAAGAAGTATAATTTTGTTTTATTGATTCAGTAAAGAGTTGACAAATGAAAAAATGTTCTATTTTTTCAATATTTTAAAATCTTTTCTTCAACATGTGTCCTCAAAATATATTCAGATATAATGTCATAATTTAAACAGATTAATTTTGTGGTAGAAAATACACATTGAAAATGAAACAAACACAAAACTCACAATGAGTGTAGGTTTCCATGTTGGTATGACTGTGTAATGTTCCGCGCATGAGCAAAGACATTCCCATTAAAAATTTTCATCAGGCAGTGCCAATGAAAAGACTGCGTCCAAAAAACCCTCTTGTGCTATTGTTACATCTGTTCTATCACGGTCGCGGAAAGTTTTTTATTCGAACGCCCTTTTTTAAAGAAGCGACCGTTTTTGGGGTAACCTGTACACAAGCGAAAAGGAGCCATGCTATTGGTTGGGTTTGGCTCGGCTCCCCCCTCTCTCTTCCCTTTTCGTTGACGAGTCGAGCTTTGCTATGGAAACAGTGATTTTGACGGCAATTTTCTCAAAATTAATCGCTAAGATTTCAACCATATTCCAGAATTGAAATCACGTCTCAGAATTCTACCAGTCTGCAAAATCTCATCAAAATTGTACAGAGAGGTTTCAACTTGCATAAGGGGCCACGCGATCAAATCCCAGCGAGGCTGAATCCTGGGGGATACTATAAGGCTACTTCGTGCCTAAAAAAAAGGCCCACGCCAAAATTAAAACTGCAGCACTCATAACAGAAAAGCTCAAAGAAGCTCGTCGAAATTTTACAAAAAGTTAAAAAAGGTCTAGAATTGGTTCTTGAATCGGAAGGAATCGTATCCTGCAGCACTCGCGTGAATCTTGTCAGAACGTCAGAGACCTGTTTGAAAACCTGGTAAAAATTCGCACACGTCTGAAAACTGAAAGACAATCTGTAGATCTGAGGCCATCAATTTTGGAATAAATTTTCAGAATTTCAGCTTTTAGAGGTGTGCGAATCTTGATCTGGATTTCAGATATGTCTCTGACATTCTGGCAAAACTAACACGAGAGCAACAAACATACGAACGCGATAAAACTCTCATTCTAACGAATTTGACGTCACATTCGTCGAATAACAGTGAGCTCACAGAGGCCCTTTCGGTGTCGCGAGTCACGGGTCATCGCGTCGGAACGCGACAGATTGCTGCTGCAGTGGGAGCGCGCAGGACACGGCGACGTCAAGCGCCTGCGAAGTCCAGGGTAGGCAACCCTCGTGCCTACATCGCAACGGAGCGCGGCGGCACGGCCTACCTCCCAGGCGCTTGCCGCTGCACTGGCAAACTAAGTGGAGAACTCCGCACTTCCTGGTGCGATGTGATTCTTCACACTTGGATGTGTGGAGTTTGCAGCCTTCACACTTCAAGAATGAAGTAGCTGACAGTGCCCCTACCTTTTGGCGCACTGCAAACGTGGAGAACACCTCACTTGCACTGGGTGAAGAGTGCAAACTGTGCACCTCCAAGTGCGATGGCGGCATACTTCACACCCCTCACTGTAAAAAATTATGTTGTAATTTAGCAGTAAATATGTTGCTAATTTTCTTAGCGATCAAAGTTGTTTTCAAATGACTTTCGTTGTTTACTAACGAGTTGCGTCGTTCGTCCACAAGATGTTTGTAAACCGGTAGACAGCCTTATTTGCATCAATTTTTATTGCCGATTAGGTCACAGACCTAGTAGAGTCCCGGTTACCCCGCAGTAACCACTTCTTAGATTGTCCGGGTTGTTTGTAGGCAGCAAAATATTGTTTTGAAACAGCATAAGTCATAAAAATAATTAGCAACGAATTCGTCGTTTTAAAACAAGCAAACTTGTTCACAAACAACATCGTTGTCGAGGTTGGTAATTGTGTTGTTGTTTTAAAACAACAATTTTTAACAGTGCTGCATGTTCAGAATAAAGTTCTTAACACTTTTTTTTAGAATTAAAAAGGTTTTTATTTATCAGATGTTACAAACATATATACATTCTTACTACGCTAAGTTTTTCTATTTTGCCCGTGGGCCTAAAATAGGTTTAGTGCCAAACACTTGGTTTGACAGTGCAGCGGGAAGCGCCTGGGACGTAGGCCGTGCCGCCGCGCACCGTTGCGTTGTGACCTGAAATTGATGATTTACCTTGCAAGTATTATAACACCACTACAAACCCGGAGGCATCTTCACCCTGAGGAGATAGCAGCTCACGCGGATTGGTGTTGAGGACGAAACGGTCGGCGAGGCGTCTGTGGTCACCTTCCACGAGAGAACCCTCAAAACTATGGCACTATATCTGAGACCAATTGATCAAATGCAACAACTGTCACAGAGATAGTGGGATAGTTTTTTTTGGGTCTGTTTTTATTCTTTGTAGATGTGCTTACAGAGAAACATTTCATCGTTTACATGTCAAAATACTGAATAGATTAAACATGAGTAAACATCAATTAGGATAGAAATGCTTAAATAATAACAGGAAAAGTAGCGATATACATCGGCAACACGTTTACAACTTCATGAGCGATGCACAGCGCACAGAGGCGTCCCTGACAGCAAATCACGCACATCATGCCGTTGCGGACAGGTCTTGTTATCCGAGCTGCTCCATATTGGCCATGGCTACTGGGGCGTGCCGTAAAACTGGGGAGACTCCGGCATACCGAGGTGATTACGACGGGCACTTAAACACAACTTCTCATAAGGTCCTCGATCGCCATCTTCATGTTGTATTACAAGGCAAACGGTGAGATGAACTGAGAAGAAGCTCCAAATGATATTTTTGAGATTGAGTCCAAGTCACCCCGTATGTGGGCGTCAAACGACGGCACTCATCAGAAATTTCCCTTTCTTCGTATAAATTGCAAATCTCAAAAACTTTTTCATGTCTGAATATGCTCTGATCGGTGAGCTCACCTTCCGGTTTCTTCAGTTTCAGGTTCTCAATAAAAAGTTTAGCAACATTCCTGGATGCATCATCCGAGCTAAAGAGATAATTTTAGAAACTTTATATTAGTGACATCCATATATTTTATATAAAAAAAGTAAATTTTATTTTTCAATTGTGGTCCATAATCCATATTTAAACACACTTCATAAGAACTCGATCTGCATAGCCCAACATAAATTAGAGAATGTCAATGCACATTAGTGTGCACAATAAACAAAAGTTAAATGATATTTACATTTCTGAAACAAAATAATACTAGTTGTATTTGAGATAACTATTTTTCTTACCAAATATGACACAAAAAACGCATTGTTAGAAGTGACGAAAGGAACCTTGAATGCTGCCCTAAGAACGTTACCCCCGCTCTACAACCGCTTCCTCGATGCTCGGCTGGGGATTGCCCAGCCTGTATGTACACACTTTAGTTTGCAGAGTGATCACCGTCAGATATCTTAAAATCTTACGATAACACCAGAGGGCTCGTTACATCCCGTTAAATTTTGCGAGTTATCAAAACATCTTGCAATTTCACTAACATTGCGAGGCCTCTCGAAAAGTATAACAGACCTAAGCAAAGGCATTTTTAACATTTTTTTCAACCTGCACCTACAGTCTATTAGAACTGACATTTTTTAATCAGTTAACTGAAATTTTTATCTCTTGCATACAAAGTTTTCTGTATAGAAAAGACATACAATGCGCTACTTTCTCTTGAGCTTTGCACGATGTTGTTCATTGTACAGAGTATTTTGTTCATTAAATTTCTCTTTTGCCTAAAGGAGTACTTTTTATGCAATTTTAACAATTAAATCTAAGAAACGATCAAAATTGTATTTAAGAAGTACTTAAGAGAAAAGTGGAGAGTTTACCTCCGCTTAAGTTTGCTCAAAATTGAGCATGCGCTTCGGTCTGCACGAATTTCAAGCGCAACAACGCACACTTTTGTTCTTAGTTACGCACCAATTCATGCCTTTCAAAACCCGTGCTCAACTTCGTGCAAAGCCAATGCACAAACTCGCGCTCAGTAATCTGGTGAGCAAGCAATAGAGTAAAAAATCCATTTCAGACTGAGAGTGTGAAAAGCAGCTTACTTGCAAGACAACAGAGCATTCGGAGTCCGACAGGAGGCCACACTCTCAACACGTTACTGAGTTTTTCCTTATGACTACGTATTCGTAAGCAACAATAATACTTAGTATTTTTCAAGTAAGTATGACTAATTTCCATTGTAAAATTTTGTTCAAAACCAAAATGTCAGTACTACTGACTCAGTAGATTAGTTAATCTTTCTTAAGAAGATCTTTAAGAATGAAAAAGTACATGGTTGCCCAAAATGACATGCATAAGTACTGACGAAATGAGCAAAGGTCAGTAACGTGCTGAGAATGAAGCTGGAGGGCGACTGTGCTCCACATCAAGGACGCGTTCCTGTCTAGCGGCTCTTCTTGACTCCACGGGATATGGCGCAGACTTCTGCTTCTCCCTGGCCGAAGCTCCCTTCCGCTGGGAGAGCTCCGCCTCCTTATGTCGACTCCAATGCCCGATCACCTGCACCTGCCCGGCGGTTCGCGTGGATCTCAACAGCTTATGCATCAAATCAGAATAACACTTCCTCTGCTTCTCCACTTCGGACTTCCACTTCGCCACTTCGTCGCACCACTTTTGGATGGCAGCTTTATTCTGGAACAAAAATGCTTTTGTTTTAGCAAAGCGATATCTAGATGCACGGTGGATCTGCTAGTAACAATAGCCAGTCATACCTCCATTTCAGACTTTTCCAGATTTTGTGACAGATGGATCATGCTGCTCCGTAACTTGTAGTTCTCTTCAACCTGAAACTAAAGAAACCGGAAGGTGAGCTCACCGATCAGAGCATATTCAGACATAAAAAAATTATACAGAGTCTGAAGTCCGTACCCTTGTCAGATTTTCGACAGCGTTCAGGCGGCGTAGTAGGCTCTTGATCTCAAGGCGTAGATCCGAATTTGTCTGATGAATAAGAAAAAAGTTTGAGTGAGAGTTAATATACGAGCACTGACATTAGGCAGTGACTCCTACACTCTTATCCGCGCTCTGACCAGGGCTTACCAATGATTTTGATCAACAAAAGCGTGCAAAAGGTTTTACTAGGTTAAAGTTCTGTTCAAAAAGGACTAATGCAAAGGACTATGAAACTTCCCGAACACTGATATGTAGAAAATGCTGCTTCAGGGGGGTCATCACTCCCAAAACAGTGCCTCAGTGAAAACGTCATAAAAACCAAACGAAAAGAGGTAAATTGTTCATATTTTAACAGATAAAGTACAAAGCAACACAAATTCAATCCGCCAGGGCAGTACAAGGCTTTCGTTGAAAACACATTTTTTAGTATTAGGTTAGATCCTTCGCACGCTGCAAACCCATGTGTAGGACAGGTCGACACTTTAAGGCGTCGCCTGCATGTGTAGGACACTGTCCTACGGCAAATTACACTGAGTTTCCTTGTGGCCCCACACTTCAGCCGTCGGACATGCTGTGGTCGACACTTGGCGTCGGACACTGTGTGGTCGACACTTTAAAGCGTTGGAAACAGCTGGTCGACACTTGCAAGCGTAGGACAAACTGGTCTTCGCCTTAAAAAGTCGACCTGTCCTACAGTTGGATTTGCAGTGCACTGTTGCAGCACTGGACGCTAAACGATTTGATCTAGAACAACAAAATTTGGTGACAACCTTCCTGAGATGTCTGGCTATGGTGGGTACCTCAATCACATTTTGAAAATCATTTCCAGTCATATTTGTTAGATACCAAAAATTTATGATTCATTTTTTTGTCAAAATTGTTTAATTTTGAACGTTCAATAAATAATGAAAATTGACCAATGCAAATTATTTTGCTATCCACCAAAGCGGCATGTCGTAGGAGCTTCCATGCTAAATCTCACCGCTGTGGCTCAAAAACTGCGCCTTAGAGGGCTGTAACCGTTTGCAATTTCATATTCCGAGAAAAACGCGATCAAAGTTGGGGAAACTGGGCTTTTACCGTATGCATGGTTGCAGCCCACAACCTCTAAAAACTGCATTTTTTTTAAATTTTGGATTTCAGTTTTCGCCATTTGACGCAGAAGGGAATGATGTATAATATAAACTAATAAAAAAGGTTGCAATTTTTTGACCATTTCGGAGTGATATCCCTCCTTAAGTCTTCAATCCCCAAGAAATTTTGTTCATATTGAGTTAACTTGTGCATCAAGTTTATACATCTACACACTTGGGAAGAGTGCTGCTCCAAAACATGCATATATGAAATAATTTTCATGAACCGAATATTTAGAAAGTAAGGCGCTATCGTAAGCAAATGGGTCCCAGCAACAAGACCATATATTTTCTACACAACAACAATGCTGTGTTATGCCCACAAATTATTGAATGAGGAACATGTTTTTGCTTGAAAAGACTTGGCCGGCGAGACCGGGTGACAAATTGGTGCTGTGCAGAGCGAGGCGACGCTTCCTTACCTGTAAGTCAGCCTCCTCTTTTGCCCACAGACGCACCAGCAATTGGGCGTTGCTCTCTCTCAGCGCATCAATCTGCAACGGCATTGCAACAAAATAAGGTGGAAAGTCGCGGACTGTAAACGCAACATTATGTTCTCTCGGTTCCAGAAACCTATGGACCACATTGTTTGGTAAAATGAGCAACTTACCTGCAGCTCCAATCGATTAACTACCTGATCGTTATTAAGACCACCAGTCAGCCGTCGGGGCAACGGGTCTTTCACCTCACGCTTTTCTTCTAACTGCAACAGTAAACAAAAGTCAAATATACACACTCTAATGACCCTTCACTCTCAGACTAGCTAGTGATTTTTAGTACATGGTATTAGCATTAAGTCAGAAGCACCTCCAGTAGTTTGTGCAACAATAATACGTAATTTTCCCTTTCGTAATTAATATTTAAATATTTGTCAAAACTTGTCGACAAAAATGTTTTTCTAACTAATTTTATGGAGTAAATTGGACGTATCTAAGCACCACGTTTTATTGTTGTGGGCAGTAGAACCCACTGACGATAAAGTCAGTAAGAAGCAAAGAGTGTTGCATATGCTCAAAATACTTCGTTAGGCACTGCAGGAAATAACCACAACAAAAGTACACAAATTTCTGGCAAATTTTTTATCAGGTTTTTATTGTACTTTCAAAGTACAACAATTGTTGTACAAAGTACAATGGAACCGGCATGACGAGTGCTGGGCAGTGCAGGCCTCGTTGTGGTTTGTACAATTCTCGTTGTACTTTCTACAATCCCTGTTGTACTTTTATTGTACAGTTTTTGTTGTACATTTGTTGTACTATTCACACTTTTTCTTGCAGTGGGGCTTTCAGCCTCAAAACAAAAACGACGAAAAAGACAAAAAGTTTGCCGTACCGCGACCTCTGCTTCGTTGGACTTTGAGGCTTTGCTTGCCAAGGCAGCTAGGTTCTGCACCTCTTCCTTCAAGGCCCGCCGGGCACGTTCCACTGATAGGAACATGCTCCATCCCACTGGAGCTCGAGTCGGACTGCGAAATAAACGCAATTGAGGATTGAAAAACGAATACCACTCGGCCACTCGTGCAAACTTTGTCAGAATGTCATAAACATGTCTAAAATCCTGATCAAAATTCGCGTTCATCTGGAAGCTGAAATTCTGAAAACTTATGCCGATATTGATGGCCTGGGTTCTGCAGAATGTCGGAACATGTTTTCAGCTTTCAGAGGTGTCCGAATTTTGATCAGGCTTTCAGACACGATTCTGACATTCTGACAAGAATTACACGAGTGACATAATCGGAGAGTGGGACACCCTTAATGTGAGACTAATTCATGAGTCAAAGAAGCGTCTAGAATAGTTTCAAGGCAAACTGATCATGATTGAGACATTTGAGAGCACAGTGCAGAGTGCTGTTCTGCAGAAAAGGTAATTAAGGGGGGACATCACTCCAAAAACAGTGCTTTTGTAAAAACGTCATAAAAACCAAACGGAAAGAGATAAATTGTTTATATTTTAACAGATAAAGTATAAAACAACACAAAGTCAATCCGCCAGGGCAGTACAGCGCTTTCGTTGAAAACACATTTTTGAGTCTTGGGTTAGACCATTTCGCACTGTTGCAGCGCTGGACGCCAAACGGTTTGACGTAGAACAACGAAATTTGGTGACAGCCTTCCTGAGATGTCTGGCTATGGTGGGTACCTCAATCACATTTAAAAAATCATTTTAACCTGAAACTAGGACTTGGACATTGAAAACCGTCCCAGAGCTCACGAACACACTCGTGTAAATTTTGTCAGAATGCCAGAAACATGTCCGAAATCCTGATCAAAATTCGCGCACCTCTGATAGCTGAAATTCTGAAAACTTACTCTGATATTGATGGTCTGAGTTCTACAGACTGTTAGAATAAGTTTTCAGCTTTCAGAGGTGCGCGAACTTTGATCAGGTTTCCAGATAGGTTTCTGACATCCAGACCAGGTTTGCACGAGTGCAGCTTGCGATCTGCTCAGTGCTCAGGCCGTGCCGTGCCATGCCGGGGTGTCATTCACTCATATCGCCCGGCCATAAACACAGCCAAAGGGAAGGGACAGGTCGCCGGCTCTGTGGGGCAACCTGGCCCGCCCCGCGCCTCTGACTTTTCGCACGCCACCGAATATGATGTTTTGGAGTGGCCATCTTGTAAATAGACGGCTGCTCCGTCGCACCAATCTCAATCGTTCGGTGTACCGACAGTGACAACCGACTCTCTGTCAGTGATTTCAAAAACCTAACCTACCTGACGGAATGACGTCGAGACGTCGAAACCGCCGCGGCGCGTTCTTCAAACGGCCTCTGCTTCCCTGAGGCAGGCGGAGCGGACGTTCCCCGCATCCTCCTCTACTGGTCCTGGTTCGAGTTCATCCTCTCTGGCAGTCTCACAGAGGTTGACGGACAGGAGGGCGACTGGCTCTGCAACGGAGTAGAACGGTTTCTGCACAGTTCCGGGCAATGTTGGAGCATTGGAATCAACGGGCAGGGCGTGTTGACTACGCCCTAAGTTAGACCGTCCCTTATTTTTTCAAATTGAACCGAGACAAAAGTTCGTGGTGCAAAATTGTTCCATTTGGTGAGAAAACACCTCTGCCAAAGTTTGGTGGTGCTACGATATCGCATGGCCGAGCCTGAGGGGCTAGACCGTCCCTTATTTTTTCAAATTGAACCGAGACAAAAGTTCGTGGTGCCAAACTGTTCCATTTGGTGAGAAAACATCTCTGCCAAAGTTTGGTGGTGCTACGATATCGCACGGCCGAGCCTGAGGGGCCTAAGTGCAAATTTCAAAAATCGGCCGATTTCGGAATTTGAAAGTTGTCTTCCAAGTAAACACGTCATTTTGATGTCCAAATGACGAAAATTTCAAGCGTTTTGCCGTATCTTGAACCGTTATGGCCGAAACGGCGCTCTGAACGCGCTCGCCCTCCGCGCGGAAGGCCGATCGGGACCCAACTACGCCGCTTTTGGGCTGCACCAAGCTGCCCCGGAGAGCAGTAGATGGCGGCGTCGCTGTCAGCACCTTCACCAAACATGTGTGACTAATTTCATAGTAATTGGTGGGTTGGATTTCATTACAAACGAGGTAAAGACCAAATTTTACACCAAAACACGCGAAAAATGCTAAATTGGCTAAATTCGCTAAATTTGACACTCCAAGGGCATATTTCAGCATTTTCCTACTGAGTATCTCACTAACCACAGTGGAATTTTCAGAGACAATTCAGGTACATGCTTGGGGAAGGTGCTGACAGGGACGCAGCGATCCACTGCCTTCCGGGGCGGCTTGGTGCAGCCAAAAAGCGTCGTAGTTGGGTCCATTTTGGCCTTCCGCGCAGTGGGCGAGCGCGTTCAGAGCGCCGTTTCGGCCATAACGGTTCAAGATACGGCAAAACGCTTGAAATTTTCGCCCTGCGGGCATCAAAATGACGTATTTACTTCGAAGACAACTTTCAAATACCGATATCGGCCCATTTTTTAGCAGATGATACGTTCACGTATCAGCGTGCTTGTACTCTCGTGCAGAGAGTACCGAGTTTCCGGCTAGCCAGGCAGCAGTAGCCTCGTTGCCTGACTAGCAAGCCTAGAAGAGGCCGAGCGCCTCGCTGGCAAGGCAGCGGCTGGCTCGCCTGCCTAGAAGATTATGAGCGGAGGGCCCGCAGTCTGCCGCGCCGTCGCGCGCCGCACCATGAATCGGGGCGCCTGCGGGGGCTCGGGTTGCGCGCGCGGCGTATAACCTCGACACCCAGTTATCTAGTACTCATGAAGTGCGTCCCTCGCCTTGCGCGTCGTCACGAGACGCTGCTAGCACGCATCGCGTAGCTGCCCCCATCGCCCATTCCCTTGCCGAGACGCCACGTCCCGCCGCGCACCGCCACACCCCGCAGCAGTCTACACACACACGCACTTGAGCCTTGAGTGCGAAGAACGCATGGTGCAGCCCCCCCCCCCCCCCAACCCCTGCCCCTCTCGAGGAGCGGCGCGTCGGCAGTGTGCGCCGTGCGCCACTCTTGCTTATCTATCTTGAGGTCGGGTTCGGGTGGCGCGCCGGCCGGCCGGCCCCGCTTGGAGATGTGGCTGACACGCCACGTGCCGCAAGGCGCCTTGCCCTAGTACCGAACACAACTTTTATGGGTATTTAGTATTTATGTGATTAGCCACCAAATTGTGCATCCTCGCGTTGAAACAACGAAAATGATACCCAACACAAGTGGTATCGGACATATGAGTGTCACACCGTCATTGCAAACATGGTAGGGATGCAAAAATACCGGTAAGATTCAAAGTTACGTAAATTACGGTAAAATACGGTATTTTACCGTATAATACGGTAAAATTGGGTAAAATTGATTTTTCTTGACTTAAAGAAGTAACTGTGGTTCTTCTTGTGAAATAGGGGGAAAAGAGGTTCATTTGGGTGAGGGTGTATCATTAATTATCGGCCGCATCGTTCCAAACATGGTTGCAAACCATCATGACTCAAGGACAATGTCGCATATTTGAAATAGACAAGGACGAAAGACCCTGTGGGTCAAAAATATGAACTATTCCCCCACTAAACCCTCCCAAATTAATTTTGAATCTGACTGCTTTTCACTTATTCCTACTGGGCTGGATTAAGGGGGGACATCACTCCAAAAACAGTGCTTTTGTAAAACGTTATAAAAACTAAACGGAAAGAGATAAATTGTTCATATTCTAACACATAAAGTACAAAACAACAGAAAGTCAATCCGCCAGGGCAGTACAGCGCTTTCGTCGAAAACACATTTTAGAGTGTTAGGTTAGACCATTTCGCACTGTTGCAGCGCTGGACGCCAAACGGTTTGACGTAGAACAACGAAATTTGGTGACAGCCTTCCTGAGATGTCTGGATATGGTGGGAACCTCAATCACATTTAAAAAATCATTTTAAGTTGTATTTGTTACATACCAAAAAAAAATGTTCATTTTTTTTGGTCAAAATTGTTCAATTTTAAACGTTAAAAAAATAATAAAAATTGACCAATGCGAATTATTTTGCTACCCACCATAGCGGCATGTCGTAGGAGCTTCCATGCTAAATCTCCCCGCTGTAGCTCAAAAACTGCGCCCTAGAGGCCTGCAACCGTTTGCAATTTCATGTTCCGAGAAAAACGCGATCAAAGTTGGGGAAACTGGGCTTTTCCCCTATGCATGTCTGCGGCCCACAACCTCCTAAAACTGCAATTTTTTGAATTTCGGAATGCGGTTTTCGCCATTCGACGCAGAAAAGAATGATCTATAATATTAACGAATAAAAAAAAGTTGCAATTTTTGATCATTTTGGAGTGATGTCCCCCCTTAAGGGGGCACACCAGTGAAAATGTAGAGGTTTTGAAAAACGATCACTCTGAGAAAAGTAACCTATGTATTCGATTGATATTTTATTCGTGGCTCAAAATTATATCAAAGAAAAGAAAAATCAGTATGGGAGGTCGGGGTGGCGATGGCAAGACGGAGCGCCAGTGCACTTCATTTTTCTGCGACCTCGTCTCACTCCTGCCACGATTGGGCGCCCCCTCTGGATTGAGCCTCGAGCACGGGTTTTGAAAATTCTCAACAGGACACATGGGGCTTGGTCTGAACCACGAGCATGCAAAAAGAATGATTTTAAATTTTTTTTTTCAAAAGGAAAAAATTTAAAAAAAAATTTTTTTAAACCCAAATTTTTTTCGCGTTTCTGGCTGCAGCTCACGTCCTATTTATGGGATGGCATTTCCGGGGTTTCAGACCATAGACGCAAGTTTAACGAACATTTTGCCGCAAACCGCATTTTTTATCTCAATTTTTGCGCCCGGAGAGGGGAAAAAAGGTACAAAAAAGGTGTTTTGAAAAAAACCCTGTTAGTAGAAACATAGATTTGACGGTTTTTTTCGGATTATAAATGCGCTTTTTGGACGTATTTAAGTTCGTTTTGCGCCAAAATGACCCTTTTTTTAACTGCTTTTGGGGGGTTTTCAAGGGTTTGAAAATTAAACTTAAAGTGAAAAAGCTGAACGTTCAAAATTGGTAAAAAAATCCAGGAATAAAAACCCTTTTTAACAACTTAAAAAATGTGCACAACCCAAAGAAATTTGGGAAATTTTTGGGGGTGGGGTTTGGGGCATTCAAACTGGGGATGAATAGCAGAAAAATAAGATAAAAAAAAAAAGAAGGAAAAAATTTGACGATTTTCACTGGTGAAACCCCCTTAAGAAAGCGTAGAGCAGCAAATTTAAACCACCCCAAATATACTTAAGAATTAAAAAAAACGGGCGCCGTTTTTCCGTAATCCAAGTAAGTCGTCTCAATTCCATGAAGAAATTTTTTTCCTTAAAGGCTGCAAGGTGCCCAAAAAACCATACAAAGGTTCATTACCTTTTCAGCTAAATTTCTAACAAATGTCTACCCCTGGGTTTACCTCTTTCAATTTTAAGTTAGTTAAAATTATAGGAACCTTGGCAACAAAAAAAGGGTTTTTTGATTTGCCTTTCGGAGTTTTGGGTCGCGTAAATGGATTTTGATTTCCACAAGTTTTGCAAAAGAAGGGGAACATTAACTTCACATTAATTTAAGTGGAGACGCTTACACGTACACGGGGTGGCACGAGGGGCAGATACAAACCAAGAGTCAAAAGAAGCGCCTTTTCAGTCCGTACGTCCTGCTAATCGTATGGAAGCTAAAGAAGTTCAAATAAGTCAAAATTTCAAATTACCGAAAAATACCAATTTTACCGGGGTCTCCGTTAAAAAACGGTATTTTTCCCTATTATACCCTTCTTAAAACCCGGGAATATTACCGGCCTTTACATCCCTAAGCCTCGCTGTTTGACGCTGGCCAGCCTCGCTGTTTGACGCTGGGGACAGCCTCGCTGTGTGAGGATGGCACAGCCTCGCTGTGTGAGGCTGGCACAGCCTCGCTGTTTGACGCTGGGACAGCCTGGGGGTGGGGGCTTTGGGACAGCCTCGCTGTTTTACGCTGGCACAGCCTCGCTGTTTGGGCGCTGGCACAGCCTCGCTGTTTGACGCTGGCACAGCCTCGCTGTGTGAGGTGGCACAGCCCCGCTGTTTTACGGTGGCACAGCCCCCGTTTTGGGCGCTGGCACAGCCTCGCTGTTTGACGCTGGCACAGCCTCGCTGTTTGACGCTGGCACAGCCTCGCTGTTTGAGGGTGGGACAGCCTCGCTGTGGGAGGCTGGCCCCAGCCTCGCTGTTTGACGCTGGCACAGCCTCGCTGTTTGACGCTGGCACAGCCTCGCTGTTTGACGCTGGCACAGCCTCGCTGTGTGGGGGGCACAGCCTCGCTGTGTGAGTCTGGCACAGCCTCGCTGTTTGACGCTGGCACAGCCTCGCTGATTTACGCTGGCACAGCCTCGCTTTTGAGGCTGGCAAGCCTCGCTGTTTGAGGGTGGCACAGC